AAACAAGGTTGAGGATAAAAACAAGGTTAAGGATATAAACAAGGTTGAGGATAAAAACAAGGTTGAGGATATAAACAAGGTTGAGGATAAAAACAAGGTTGAGGATAAAATCAAGGTTGAGGATAAAAACAAGGTTGAGGATAAAAACAAGGTTGAGGATAAAAACAAGGTTGAGGATAAAAACAAGGTTGAGGATATAAACAAGGTTGAGGATAAAAACAAGATTGAGGATAAAAACAATGGTTGAGGATAAAAACAAGGTTGAGGATATAAACAAGGTTGAGGATAAAAACAAGATTGAGGATAAAAACAAGGTTGAAGAGTTTGGAGAACTTCAAGGAGAAGAGAGAGCAGGATTATTTTTATTGAGAAATATCTATTGGAATATTATATATTAAATTCTCCGAATACCAGCTCCTACCATTTATTATACCTGGAGTAGGAGGGATATTAGAAACCAAGGAATTATTACATTATTATATTTTTACTCAAGGAAGATATTTTTTGAAGATGTAAATAGAAAATCATAGAAATAGAATTAACTTGATTTTCTTTACAAAGTTTTCTTCAATTTGTTATTAAATTTCTTAGTTAGCCAGTATTTTGAAGGAATTAGAGGGATCCAAATATTTTATTAAAACATTTATATAAACATATAGTATAAAACTGTGGTTTACTTCATCGACAGAAACAATTTCAATTCTATCCATTGATTACTTGCCTCAAACTATACCCTCATTTAGCATATATCTAAAATCAAATGGTGTAAACTTTTGAAAAAAACTAAAATTTTGTGGCAAATAATCAGTTACGTTGTTTTTGTGATTTTTTCCATATTGAACTATAATATAGGGTACGCAAAATTCTTCTTTATGTATCCTATTTACCTATGGCATGTGCTAACTGTATCTTATTTACCTATGGCGTGTGCTAACTGTATCCTATTTACCTATGGCATGTGCTAACTGTATCTTTTTTACCTATGGCGTGTGCTAACTGTATCTTATTTACCTATGGCTTGTGCTAACTGTATCCTATTTACCTATGGCATGTGCTAACTGTATCTTATTTACCTATGGTGTGTGCTTACTGTATCTTATTTACCAATGGCATGTGCTAACTGTATCCTATTTACCTATGGCATGTGCTAACTGTATCCTAGTTACCTATGGCATGTGCTAACTATATCCAATTTACCTATGGCGTGTGCTAACTGTATCCTATTTACCTATGGCATGTGCTAACTGTATCCTATTTACCTATGGCATGTGCTAACTGTATCCTAGTTACCTATGAAATGTGCTAACTATATCCTATTTACCTATGGCATGTGCTAACTTCAATGTTCTCTTCTTTTCGTTCCTGAAGACCCTATAGAGAAGAATCCCTGTACCGTACAGGTAGATCAAGCTGACCGTCATGAGTAGCGGGTGCCAGTTGAACTCTCGGTCAGGTTGGGAGGGACCAGCGAACCCGCCCAGGTAGTGTCCAGTCCATATTGATACTAGAACTACGAGAATCAACCCTACTCCCTACATCAATACAAGTCTTAGATAATGATTGAGTATGCATTGGTATTTCATCAATAACTAGCTTGGGAACCCAGATTAGCTGGAGTTTTCCCTATAAAAGTCAACCAACTAAACTTAGAATTTTTAAACCAACCTAAGTACATTCCCGTTGTTCTCTCGAGTTCCCAAATCAAATTTTGAGGCCAATCGGTCAAGGGGTTCATGAGTTATGATCGGACATCCAAACATCCAATCAGGGATAACTACTTTACGCGAAAGCGTGAAACAACTTGTAGATACGATACAATAAATGTTTAAATAGTTGTTGATATTTCTTCATTCCTTATATATGTAGATAGATATATGGAACGTTCACTTATTTGGGTAATTTCAGGGTAAACTAAACAGCCTATTCGCTGTTGATTGGTATTAGTCTTACTTTTCAAAGACAGTTTTTTGGGGGGGTACCTGAGATACGAAGAATCCTGTTTTTAGTCCTCGGAGATCCTGTTCGATCTCATCCATCCTGTCTAATCTAGTTACCGGAGCAGATCCGTCTAAACCCTCATTATTCGATCTGAAAAATCCGCACAATTATCGTAGAACTGTTATGATGCAACAGCTGGAACTTTTCTCAACAAGTTCCAGGAATCCTATGTGTACTGGAGGACCCGGATATTCGTCCTCTCGGTGCTCCTGCCTGGTCGGAGAAAGGTTGGAGATAATTATATATGGAAATATATTAATGGTGAGTATAATCTCTACTCAGAGTAAAAATAAATGTGTTGGTTCTCAGCTGTCCTGCGTCTACTCTGACATTCAACCCAACTCCTGGTTTCTCTTTCTCTCATTCAGCCTCCGAACCTTCCTCCTCCTCCTCCCCCGTCCTCCTCCTACTTATACAATATACATACATTCATTCCTTTCATTCTTTTTCTGTTCTCTTTAATACAATTTTAGAACGAGCTTTGTTTATTCAAAGATTTATGATAAACTTAAAAGCCAAGCCAAGCCAAGCTTTGTGTAAAATCATTTATTAAAATCATGTAAGGACACTATATTCGTTTTTCCACCCCCCCCCCTAAACTCACATCCTTATATACCTCCCTATCCTGAAATACTACACCTCTCCCTACTCCTTTACTACTAATAAAACATATTTTCTCTTCATATCCGTACCCTTCCCTCCTTCCTCCATTCTTATTCCTTTAATTACTCCGTACTCACTCCCATATCTCTCCCTCTATACTCCCTCTTTCCTCCCTACTTATACTCCCTCTCTTCTCCCTTCCTCTCATAACTTGAATCTTTTCTCTTCTATACACACACACCCTAAACCGTATTCCTCTCTACACTTTCTTTAAACCCTTCCTCCCAATATATATTAATATATATAAATATATTGTTAATAAAATCAAATGACATTGTATTATTGGAGTTTGATATTTAATAGTATAACTTACTAGTTTTCCATGTCGGAGTAGAAGGAGTGAACAAGAATTTGAGGGTTTGATGGAATACTTGAAAACATTTGTAAACACTTCTTTAACTATTGATTGAAAAGTTATTTCTGGATTTGATCTTTCATTTAGTAAACGTTTCACTACAGTCTACACTCCTCTCTCACATCCTTCTTCTTAAAACATTTCCTTCTCTAAGTGCCTTTATCGAACAACAACCCCCCCCTGTATATATGCGCCTTGTTGTCACGTAAGCCTAATCTAGGTTATTGAATACTGATCAATACTCTTGTACAAATATTAGAGGAATAATACAGAGCCCGAAACTTAAAACAGAGTATCGTTGAACGAAACCACCGAGTTTCATTTTTGGAGGACCTTAATATTTGTGTAGATTTTGATTTAAGATATTCTAAACAGATTGAGAATATGAAGAAACTAAATAAAATATTAGTTCACCACAAAAATATTGTTATCCACAAAACTGCCTAACCCCATTCGTTAAACCCGAGTTTAAAAACTGGTTTTCGTAACGATACCCTGTCTTAAGTTTTGGGCTTAGAGCTCGAAACTTAAAACAGAGTATCGTAATGAAACCCAGTATCGGAAACCCGATTTCATGGATGGTGTCAGGCAATTTTGTAAATACTAATCCTTGTGTTAGAAATATTATTTCATGTGGTTCTTTTCTACGCAAAAGTATAGACCCCAAAAAGGAAACTAGGAAGTTTCGTTCAAGTATACTCTCTTAAAATTCAGTCTCAGGAATATTACAGGAATATTACAGGAATATTACAGGAATATTACAGGAATATTACAGGAATATTACAGGTAAATTAGACGATTATTACAAAATATTCTCAAGTATTTTCAGCAATAAATTTGTTTACTACTAGTTTGCTACTTTACTCGGGAGACAGAGATCAAACTAAACTTTTATAAAAATGAGTGAAGCACTGATTTAATGCTGAGCATGCTCGGGATAAAATCTGAAAATACAAAATACATGGGGAAGTAAATAATGAATTTAGAAATTAAATAATAAGTCTACAAAGTAAATACTAAATTAGTAAAGTATAAAATGGATTTGGAAAGTAAACAAGGAGAGTTTAAAAAGTAAATACTGAGCCTAGGAAGTTAATACTGAGACTTAGAAGTAAATTCTCTTAATCTTGGAAGTAATTACTGAATTTGGAAAGTATTACTTACTTAATCCAGGAAGTAAATACTGGGTGTAAATACTGAGTCTAGGAAGTTAATACTGAGTCCAAGAAGTAAATAATGAGTTTAAGAAGTAAATACTGAATCTAAGAAGTAAGTACTGAGTCTAGGAAGTAAATACTGAATCTAAGAAGAAAATACTAAGTCTAGGAAGTAAATACTAAGTCTAGGAAGTAAATACTGAGTCTAGAAAGTAAATACTAAGTCTAAGAAGTAAATACTAAGTCTAGGAAGTAAATACTAAGTCTAGGAGGTAAATACTGACGAATATCTAACAATAGTATTTGAATAGCCTGGAGAAAGTAAGAAAGATTAATCACGAGGAAGGGTTGAGAGTTGAAACCTAGATGTATATAGCTATTAAAGAAATTATATAGGGAAGAGGATATCACGTATACATTCACCCAGCTCCATATACCTCACTTAACCCAGGGTTTATCACACACATGGAGATAAAATAAATATGAGAAATAATTGAAGGACTATGTAAAAAAAAATGGATTTAAATTACAAAAATATACGACTGCCATTTACATCATTTCATTCTTAGAAATGACGGAATAATCTAATTAGATTCTTATTATATCCTGTAATTCATTTGGAAGCATCAACAAAGGCAGACCTCGTAAAGGATAATTACCGCCAGGAAAAATTTCAAAATAATCATATTCTCTTGAGGTTAAAGGGACTGTCCCATTAAGAATGAGAAAACTGAGAATGCGGAAAAAATTGCGAGGTTATGGAAAAAAGTAAATAATAGAAAAGATGATAGATGTGAAAAAAACACTAAAATGCGGGAACTTAATAAATTCTTTTAGATTAGAATTCAAGATGCAATAATAAAACTTTTCGCCGATTTTCGGACTTTGGGTATATTTTTTTACTACAAAACAATCCAACCTCGTAAAAAGTGAGTCAATTCGGTACAGCCGTGTTGAAACAAAAAGATTACACTAAAATATTAGAAACTTTATGTTGATTAGAATAGGAAGGACAGGACTGATAATAGTGTAAGATATCTCCGGGTGCTCCGGGTAGTAGTTTAACCAGTGTTTATTACTAGAGAGCAGGTAGCGGGTACTCTCCTTTATACCAGGAGCAGAACTATTCGTGGAATACCTTAACATATATTTATACTAGTATATTCATATATTCAGTTCAAAATGTTTAGTACGGAACCAAACAAAAACTTATAGGTTTAAATCTAAGTTTGATGGTTGTCCATTTTAAAATTGTCTCTAGCAAAATTCATATATTTTTATTTAATCCTAATACCTTTAAACATGGTTTTTGTAAAATATGCATGGCAATCAACTGGAATACGGAAACTTCTCAATTAAGAAATTGTTTATAATTAAGGATTTGTTTATTTCAACGGATAAATTTTTCTTGTTATAACATTATTACTTTAAGATTCAATCTGATATGACACAACATGAAAATAAAGACGCCAGAAAATATTTTTTTTAAATGCGTGCAATGAAAAAGGAGGCGATATTTTCCTAGTTCCTGACTTTTGGACCCCTCCCCTTCCAACAGAAATTATATAATAACTTTAGAAAAGGTGAAGAATGCGTGCAGTACCCAGTTGGGTAGATAAGGTTCATGACAGGGATAGAAATGAACAATGTATCTACGATCTATGCTTTAGGTGAGATATGCTAAGACCGTTTTTTTATCATTTATTAGCATCTACGTTAATTTTGAATTTTGATGCAAAATTTAACCCCGCCAACCTTGACTAGACCCATATCAGAAAACTTATGTGGTTCCTTTTCACCGGACTCAATAAAAAAACTTATTCCTTCAAAAATGTAAATTTTAAACTAATCTTAAGAGAATTTATTATAACCTTCCTTATCATTAAATAAAGTCATGCAGTTTTACTGTACCTAGAGATACGCATAGGTACTTGATTGAAAGTATTTCACAATGTTTACATGTTTTTATAATAATACAAAAAATTGTACGAAACAAATTTTAAAAATCCATTCTTCACAGGACGGATACGGATCCGCATCAAAATTAAATTGATCCAAAGCACTGCTCTCAGTATTTAATTCGTCCGTAAAGTCTAATTTTTTTGTGATTAACCTAACATTGTCTTTACCTTTTCTTATGAAATGTTTGGATCAAAGAGAAAATATTTAAATCTTCGGAGATTGGAAGTTATAAATAATATCTTTTTTGTGATAACAAGGTTAAATTTAAACTGTATTTGCCCTTATTTGCTCTTAAACATCTGAGACTTAATCTTGATTTGCTTTGAAATAATTGGCTTTACCTTACACTTAAATTGGCTTTAAATGAATTTGCCTTGAAATAACGTAACTTTCCCTGTTTTTGACTGGCAATAACTCTCTTAAACTGTCATTGTTTCGTAATAATTGGTTGTTTTTGGATTTGACTTTAAACAACTGGTTTAATCTGGTATCTGGTATGATTAGACCGGATGGCACCCAGCTGATAGTAGCGGCTGGTCAGAGGGTTCTAGTTTACGATACAGCTGACGGAAGTCTTATACAACCTCTGAAAGGACACAAGGTAAAAAATAATTAAATTATAAAGATTTAGCAGATTTAACAGATTTAACAGATTATTTTTTGATTAAAAGCCTAAAAGGGTAAGGCTTCGAACAATTTTAAAGTAGAACAAACTATCTTTTGATGCATAATTGCGAAACTCAATCCTAACTTGCATAGAATCTTAAAGATATTAAAAACATATTTTAAATTTTTTCATTTGGATCTCTGGATACAAATTCCAGGGTGAAAACTTATGTTTACTTAGCTTACTTGGTAAAAAAAAATGTTTCACCAACTTTTTAATCTTTTAAAATACATCTTCTCTTTAAGAACTTTACATTCTCTAACACTGGAAATGATAAAAATGTTTTAAATTTTGCATGCAGGGTTTCGTTTCCAAGTTAAAACAAAGGAACTGAGTTTTTGTCACAAACTCAAATTGTCTAATCCCTATATAATCTGATTATGCAAACCACTGATATTTCAAGCTTAGATTATTTGGTCTGACAGAATTCATAGTTTGAAATATCAAAGGCCTACGACATTGGGTAGCAAAGATATAGAGATTAGAAAAGTAGAGTTTGTGACAAAAACTCAGTTCCGTTAGAAATAATTTTCCAGATTCTTTGATTTAATTTTGCTCAGGACACCGTGTACTGCGTCGCCTACGCAAAGGATGGAAAGAGGTTTGCAAGCGGTGGCGCAGATAAATGCGTCATTATCTGGACAAACAAGCTCGAGGGGATTCTTAAATATAGCCATAATGACGCAGTCCAATGCCTTGCGTACAATCCAATCTCTCACCAGCTGGCGTCATGCGCCATTGGGGACTTTGGGCTTTGGTCTTCTGAGCAGAAATCTGTTCAAAAATATAAGGTAACAAATTAGAATCGGTTCAGTCCGGATATCTGTTTAGATTCCTTTCCGAATAAACTATATGTTTCAACTCTTTAGGTTCCTGCCCGGATTAAATATAGTTCCAACTGTTTAGGTTACTGCCCGGATAACCTATATGTTCCAACTGTTTAGGTTACTGCCCGGATAACCTATAGTTCCAACTGTTAAGGTTCCTGCCCGGATAAACAATAGTTCCAACTGTTTAGGTTACTGCCCGGATAAACTATAGTTCCAACTGTTTAGATTCCTGCCCGGATAAACAATAGTTTCAACTGTTAAGGTTCCTGCAGGATAAACAATAGTTCCAACTGTTAAGGTTCCTGCAGGATAAACTATATGTTCCAACTGTTTAGGTTCCTGCAGGATAAACTATATGTTCCAACTGTTTAGGTTCCTGCAGGATAAACTATATGGTTCAACTGTTTAGGTTCCTGCAGGATAAACTATATGTTCCAACTGTTTAGGTTCCTGCAGAATAAACTATATGTTCCAACTGTTTAGGTTCCTGCAGGATAAACTATATGGTTCAACTGTTTAGGCTCCTGCAGGATAAACTATATGTTTCAACTGTTTAGGTTCCTGCCCGGATAACCTATAGTTTCAACTATCTAGGTTCCTGCCAGGATAAACTGTAGTTCTTGGACGAATGATGGTCAGTATCTGGCTCTAGGTCTAGGGAATGGAGTGGTCACTATCCGAACCAAGGGTGGAGAAGAGAAGATGAGGATCGAACGTCCAGGAGGAGGGGTAAGTAATGAACACGGAGAAATATGTTACCGTCCGGAATCTAAGATGAAAAGATAAACACATGTTTGCACGTCGAAAGGCTTAATATAGCTAAAAACAATTAAACTCGGAATTCTCTTCTTTGAATGACAACTATAAAGGTTTTTTGTCAATTGTTTTAAAATTTTGTCGTTTTTAATTGGACCGCACAAAAAAAGTGAAGAAAATTTTTTTAAAAATCTATCAACATTTTTACATCAATTAAAAGGAAAGCTAAAAATACTTCCATTATTTCAGTCCAGTGCTATCTGGGGTTTGGCCTGGAATCCTAGCCAGGAGGAGAGCTATGATATTCTGTGTGTAGCAGACTGGGGGAAGACAATTAGTTTCTACAGTCTCTCTGGGAAGCAAGTCAGTAAAGAACGGAATATCGGGTTCGATCCCTGCAGTGTCTCCTTCTTCTCTAAGGTAAAGGAACACTGCGTCAGATGTTTTATAAAAGAAAACATTAGTAATTAAATTTTTCAAAAAATAAGAATTTAAAATTTTAATTTGCACTGATCAGATCGGCAAAAACGACAGTATACCACATGTTTACCTAAAAGCTCAACCAAAGAACTGAATTTTAGCCACAAACTCTGATTTTCTAATCCTTATTTCTACGCAACATGATGTCGTAGACCTTTGATATTTCAAACCATGAATTCAGAATTATGTTAGATAAAATGCTCTAAGCTTGAAATATTAAAGGTCATCTCCATCAGGTTACAATGATAAGAGTTAGAATATTAGAATTTGTAACAAAGCAAATTATTTTCACATTCTCTGTATATTTATTAAATAAGAATATTCAGGGCGAATACTTGATGATAGGAGGTTCCAACAAGGCCTGCCTACTCTACACTAAGGACGGAGTAAAGCTTGGAACTGTCGGAGAACAGAACTCATGGGTTTGGTGCTGTGCTGCCAGGTACAGCTACAAGAGCTAGAATGATTGTCCTCTTCCTTCTTTTTTTTTGATTAGAAATATCTCTCAGGATTTTGTAATTTTCACTTGGTTACCTGATTTTCTCTGCAGAAATACCAAACCCTGGGAGATACTTCCACTTAAATTTTACACACTGTTAAGAAATCTATCATTACGGTTCAAGTCAATACCCCCCCCCCCTTCCTGAAGTAAAAGTAATCAACTAAAAATATATATCATTACTTTAATTACTTTCATGATTACCCTGTCACATACAGAACTATTTTTTCAATTTTTTCAAACAATTTTTCAACAATTTTTTACAGGCTTCTGAAAATTGTGTTTAAAGACTGAATTTAACTCTTTCGGGTGTCGACAACCCTGTATACATACAGGGTATATAATCAGGGTTGTACAGTTTATATGTAAATAAAGTCTCATCCTTTGTGGGTATACCTGTATTTATAAATAAAATAAATTTACATTTTCAGCGATCTAATTTTTTAGAGGAAATCATTTATAAACCTCTCAATATTAATTTTATCTTGAACGAGGAGGGGAAGGCACACCACACCTTTTTTCGTCCGACCACAAATGACGTCCTAATTCACCGTTATTTCGTCCGACCACACCTTTTTTTCGTACGGCATTGTTTACATTCTTTTTAAAAATTCTCAGCGACTATCACCTAAAAGTTACAGTTTAGTTGTAGATTCTAAATATCTCAGCGACTATCAACTAAAAGTTACAGTTTAAGAGTAAAATTAGAAAATAGCAGAAAAGTCCGGACGAAAACAAGGTATTTTCCGTATTGTGCTAAATTGGGCTTAAATTTCGTTTTATTTTCAAAAACAATGAAACAAAATTAAATCATATTGAATCACATCTGAAAACACAAATGCAACGCCCGGAATAAAATGTATGTGGCCGGAAGAAATAATGTTAAATTGTGACGTCATTTGTGGTGCGGACGAATAAATGGTGTGGTGTGTCCTCCCCCGCTCCTGAAACCAAGTAATCAGGAAATCTTCAATTAAAAGATTTATATTCTTTTTGCCCGGGATTTACTGTTTAGAGGCAAATTCTACAACATTTAATGTAGAATTATTGTCGTCATTGTTCTTTCTTTTAAACAAAAAATATAAATATTTTGTAATTTGTAAATGTTATTAAAGACATTTATCTAAAATGTTTAAGAGAACATTATATAAAACAAATCAGTTACAAAATACAAAATTCTAAGTGAAATTTTCGTTATAAAAAAAGACATAAACAATAATTCCACTGTTTACTGGTTACCACTGTAGCACACTACATGGTTGTAATGTATATAAATTATTTTTAAGGCCGGATTCTAGTTATATTGCTATTGGATGCCAAGATGGAACTATAGCGTACTATCAGCTCATTTTCAGTACTGTACACGGACTCTACAGAGAAAGGTTAGAAAATTAACAGATTTATGTGATTGTAATAAAATCATAGAAATGATAATAACAAAGATGCAACTAAAAACCTCATAAGCCACAATGATAGAAACTTTTGTCAAGATAATGACTTAATGATAATGTTGATAATGCTAATGATAATAAAAATGACGAAAAGGATGATGATGATGGAGCCGATGATGTCAATGATGAAGATGAAAACAATGATAATGATGGTTCTAATTATGATGACGATGACGATGATGATAATAATGATATTGATAATGGCCAGAATAATGATGATACTGTTGATAATGATTATGATGAAAAGGATGAATATGCTGATGAAGATGATGAATATGATGATATTGATGATTATGATGATATGGATGACATGGATGATAATGATAATAATGAGGATAATGATGAAAATGATAAATAAGCTGATGAAGATGATAACAATGATAATATGATGATAATGGTGATAATGATAATGATAATGTATAATAATGAAGAAGACTATGATGATGAAGAAGTAACTAATTATAAAAATGATGATTATAATGATTTATCAAAAACTATCTCTAGATATGCATACAGAGAGAATATGACGGATGTAATTATACAGCATCTATTAACTGAGCAGAAGGTCAGAATAAAGTGCAGAGATCTGGTGAAAAAGATTGCGATCTTTAAACACAGGTTAGTTAAGAAACGAAGTATTAAAGGAACTATAAGTCAAGGAACGAAGTATTAAAGGAACTATAAGTCAAGAAACGAAGTATTAAAGGAACTATAAGTCAAGGAACGAAGTATTAAAGGAACTATAAGTCAAGGAACGAAGTATTAAAGGAACTATAAGTCAAGAAACGAAGTATTAAAGGAACTATAAGTCAAGGAACGAAGTATTAAAGGAACTATAAGTCAAGGAACGAAGTATTAAAGGAACTATAAGTCAAGGAACGAAGTATTAAAGAGACTATAAGCATAATTTAAAGTAACCCTCCATGCAAAAATAGAATTGCCCGATTTACAACTCTACCCCTGCATGACAGCTTGTTTGATCAAGTATGAATTAGATAAATATGTTTCTAAAAAGTGACTTGTGCATTTCTGCTGCAAAAAAAACAAACAAATGAATTATCAGAGCTTTAACCCTAGAAAAACGACAATATCTTCCACATTAATGACCAGATAAAGGTTACCCTTGTGAATCGTTTAATGAATTTAATCGTACAATACAACTAGTAGAGAGAATTGTAATCTATGAACTATAACATGTACTCTATATATAGGTTAGCAGTACAGTTAGCGGAGAGAATTGTAATCTATGAACTGTATTCTGGAGACCAAGCAGATATGCATTATAGGTAAAATTCACACATTTTATTTTTGTAAATTAAATGCTTGAACTTATTATAAAAAATGTTTTATGAAGATTTCTGCTTATTTATAATACTAAATACTCGTTCCAAACTCTTAAATCTTTGCAACCTGGTTTCGAGGAATTTGGATATTTAAAACTTTGAATTCTGCTAGATTAAATAGTTTGAAGACTTTTATTTGGACTATTAAAAAGCATCACAAAATATTGCTTCGTAAAATCGAGGTTTAAACCTGTATTCTATAAAACTTTGCTTTTAGTAAACTATGCAAAAATGTTATAAGAAATAACAGGAGAAAAAACTACAAACGATTGTTTAAAATGACCTCGTTGATGGTTTGCTTTTTGACTGTATCTTAGCACAGAATTAAAATTAAAAAAATGATAAACTTTGAAAATGTTCAGAATAAAAATATTGAAGTTTGTAAAAATTTATCTCACTTTTGGGAACCTTATAAAACCTTTAGAAAAAAACCGACACTGCCAGTGCCACCAGTGTTAACACCATCAGGTTGTAAAAATATAGGACTTAGAAAATTATGCGAGTGATAATTTTCATTGAACAAACATTTTCGAGTTCTCCTCCTCCCCTAAGAATTTCTGTCTAGAGTAAAGGAGAAGATAAACCAGAAGGTTGATTGTAACCTGCTTGTAGTCTGCACCAACCACCTTGTTCTCTGCCAGGAGAAGAAACTAACCTGTCTCAACTTCTATGGGCAAAAGGAGAGGGAGTGGATCATGGAAAGTCTTATCAGATATATCAAGGTACTAAACTAGAAGACATCAAAGAGACCTAAGAGTCATACAATAGGAATTTATTTAGTCGTTTTTTCTTCTATAAATGCAAATAGAAATTTCTTTCTTTCTTTGCCAAAGAATTTGGGTTTTTGCCACAGACTCAAATTTATCTAAACCCTATATCTTTGCAACCTGATGGCGTAAACCTTTGATATTACAAACTTTAGACTTTCTGATATAACATATTTCATAGTTATATATATTTTAAGGTCTAATACATCGGGTTTATAAGATATAAGAATTATAAAATCAGAGTTTGTGGCATGAACTTAGTTTCTTTGTTTAGCCTTCAAATTGTGTAAAAAAGTTTATGTCGTTATTATAGTCGAATGCTTTTTTGGTTACCCTGCACAGTATAACGATAAGATATATCAAGGTTATTTAGCCCCGAGAAGCATTGTTCAAAATATTTATTGATTTTTCATAAATTCCTAGATTAAGAAAGGAAAACACGAATTTTCTAATTTTTCAATGTAATAATTTGTCGTAAGAAATTGAGTCTTTGACACAAACTCAAATGTTCTAATCCCTATATCTGTGCAACCTGACAGTGTAAACCTTTAATATTTCAAACTTAGATTATTTAATTTAACAGAATTCATAGTTTAAAATATCTAAGGTCTGTGACAAATTGTGTTGTAAAGATATTGGGATTAGAAAATCAGAGAGACTCAATGTATTCCTTTGAAGTGAAAATTTAAAAACATAAAATTGTCCAGGTAGTTGGAGGTCCATCCGAGAGAGAAGGATTGCTGCTAGGTCTGAAGAATGGACAGATTTTGAAAATATTTCTGGACAATCCGTTCCCAGTAAATATCCTGAAAATCAACTCTGCAATAAGATGTTTGGATCTATCTGCGAACAGAACTAAACTAGCAGTTGTAGATGAACATTCAACTTGCCAGGTTGGACATCTTATATTCATGATTTTGTTGGGAATAGATTAATTCAAATAAATAAATAGAAAAATAGAAAGACAGATAGAAAAATAAATTATAAATAGATGGAAAGATAGATAAGATAGAACAATAGATGATAGATAGAAAATTTTTTTTAAATATAACCAAGAGCATCATTGTTTAAGTCACCTCAGAGAAAAACGAGTGGGTTAACCGGTCAGCAGCCCGCAGATGAAAGATGGCAAGTAGTATAGATAGGAAAAGATAGTCAAATAGTTTAAAAAAATAGATAGAGGAAAAATTATATAGAGGAAAAAATTATAGTAAAAAATAGGTTGATAAAAAGAAAGATATATAGATAAATAAATGGATAAAGAATAGACAAAGGCAAAAAATAGACAGATATATAGAAAGATTGTAGATAAATAGTTTGAGATAGATAGACAGGTATTTTATCTGAGTATTTGAACTTGCTGCAATATGGAAAGAAAAAGTAAATGGAAAAAGTTGTTTGGATTAAACCCAGATGTTGGAAACTTTATCAGTTAGATGAATTTTTTATCAAAGAAATGATTAAATAACAAGATTTTGCTAATTGTTTCCAATCTATTAATCCGCGTATAGAAATATAAAATACATGTTTTTAAAATATCTTCCTTTTAATATTTTTTTTCTTCTGTTTGAAGGTTTACAACGTGAGCACAAAGAAACTAGAGTTCCAGGAACCGAACGCAAACTCTGTTGCTTGGAACTCTGAATGCGAGGATATGCTCTGCTACTCAGGAAACGGGACCCTGAGCATCAAGGCCGGGAACTTCCCTCCCCACCAGCAGAAGATGATGGGGTTCGTGGTCGGGTTCACAGGATCAAAGATATTTTGTCTCCACGTCTACAGTATGACAACTATTGAGGTTCCGTTGAGCTCTCCATTGTACCAATACCTGGATAAGAAAGAATTCTCCAACGCGTACACAACCGGATGTCTTGGGGTCACGGAATCTGACTGGCGCGCACTTGGCAATGAAGCTTTAGATTCTCTTGATCTAGATATATCTAGAAAATCTTTCACGAGATTAAAAGACTTGAGAACTCTAGATTTTGTTCACGATCTTATTGAGAAGAAAACCCATGGTTCAGAGGATCAACAGCTTCTCCAGGCAGACGTTCTTGCTTATTACGGCAAGTACGGAGAAGCCGCCAAAATCTACAAGAAGATGGGACAGGAGCACAAAGCTCTAACCATGTACACCGACTTGAGAATGTTTGATCTCGCCAATGAATATCTTTCCTCTGGAGACTCTGCAGACAGGAAGGTTCTAATCAAAAAGAAAGCTGAGTGGGCTGCTAAGATAAATGAACCAAGAGCAGCTGCTGAGATGTTTCTCTCTGCTGGCGAAACTATCCGTGCTATAGATATTATGGGAGAGAATGGATGGGTGGATATGCTTATTGATACAGGCAGAAAACTAGACAAGGCTGAGTCTGAGCCTCTGGCTCTAGTAGGAGAATATCTCAAGAAGTTGGGAAGTATTCAATATGCTCAGGAGATATTTAAGAAAAAAGGAGATTTCAAGTCGGTTGTTAAACTATATGTGGAGGCGCAGGAGTGGAAAGATGCATTTTCTCTTGCGGAGAAGTATCCTGAGTTCAAGGAGGATATCTATGTACCCTATGCAAAGTACTTGGCAGAATCAGATCGGTTTGTGGAAGCACAGAAAGCTTTTCACATGGCCGGTCGACCTGACCAGGCGTTCAAGGTTCTACAAGAGCTGACCCTGAACGCTGTTAATGAAAACCGGTTTGATGATGCGTCCTACTACTACTGGATTCTAGCCATGCAGGATCTTGACATGGCATCAAGAGCTGAGAATCCAATAGAAAATGTTGCAAAGTTTAAAGATCATCATAGAAAAGCTTCAATCTACTACGCTTATCATACTATTCAGAGATATACTGATGAACCGTTCACAAGCTACATGCCTGAAGCACTGTTTAATATCTCAAGATATTTACTGCATGAACTCATCAAAGATCATCCCAAGGGTGTTTCAAAGTTTGCTGTTTTGTACGCTCTGGCGAAGCAGGCTAGAAACCTGGGAGCATATAAGCTGGCAAGGAATGTTCTAGATAAAATTAACGGGTTAAAGATTCCTAAACGGTTTAAGGAAAACGTTGATCTTGCTTCTCTTATGGTTAGATCTAAACCCTATCATGATAATGAAGAACTTTTAACTTTATGCTATAGATGCTCCACAACAAACCCACTCATGAATAACAGGTAACTGCTTACAAGATATTAATTAGTTAATTAATTTCAATTAAGAACAATCAACGAGGTAAGTTTCAAAAATCTTCAATCTTAAAATTGAAAATCTTTGGCTGTGACTTTTCTAGAAAGCAACTTTTGGATTTTCAACGGAACTGGGTTTTTGCCACAAACTCAAATTTTCTAATCTAATTTTCTAATAAAGGATTAAATCGTTTTTAACGAACTTTGATTCAGAATCAGGGACAATCCCATATGTGGAAACTAGAATAGACTGACTGCTGATGTAACTTTACCTTAAATATTTTCAGAGGAAACCAGTGTAATAATTGCTCTCAACCTTTCATCCATTCCTCAGTTTCATTTGAGATCCTTCCACTCATTGAGTTCCAACTAGAGGAAGGGATTTCAGACATCGAGGCACTCAGACTCATTGAGACAGACCTTAAACCTCAGGAGGAGGAGGAGGCGGAGAACGTGATGAGGATTGGAGAAGAGAGCACTGAGGATCCGTTTACGACTAAACTCCTGACTTTGCAGCAGGACGGGATAGATTTCATTCCAGTGATTGCTAATCGAGCTCTGCTACAAACTCTCGGACCCGGAGAGGTGAATTCATCCTTCTTACATTTCATCTATTCAAAACTAAATTAAATCATTTGAGAAATATTCTCACTTATCTCAAGAAAAGTAAAAAATCTTAAAAAAGACATTGTTGTAATTTTTAGTGACTTTCCATTTAAAGAGGGACATGCCCGATTCACAACGGTAACCTTAAAATCTTTATCTGATCAGTAATGTGGAAGATAGAGTCTTTTTACAAACTTGAACAGTGTTTAATTCTGATAATTCCTTCAATGTTCTGCAACACAAATCACTTTTGTAGAGAAACCACATTTAAAATAATAAATTATTAAATTATATGTAAAATCTAGATACCAAAGGTGAATCTAACATGCCTCTCAATAAATGGAGGCTAACTTGAAGTTGGGTCTACCTCGTCTACCGATCCAACTATATAATCAACTTTTGAAAGCGAACAGACGGAACCCTTAAACCCCATTCCCTACATGTTAAGCAACTGAACAGTCCTTCAATATTTATTTCTAATTTGGATTTATTTCAGGTAATTATCTGCCGGTGGCCTCCACCCTTGAGGTACACCTACTTCAGGAACTTGATGCCGGATATGACGATCACGAAGTGCGAGTCTTGCAATAAGGTAATGAGGGAATTGTCTTGAGTTTCTCAAACTTCAAGTTTGCTTAAACTTTCTAGTTCAAGATTGCTTAAACTTTTTAGTTCAAGTTTGCTTAAACTTTTTAGTTCAAGTTTGCTTAAATTCAAGTTTGCTTAAACTTTTTAGTTCAAGTTTGCTTAAACTTTCTAGTTCAAGTTTGCTTAAACTTTCTAGTTCAAGTTTGCTTAAACTTTCTAGTTCAAGTTTGCTTAAACTTTCTAGTTCAAGTTTGCTTAAACTTTCTAGTTCAAGTTTGCTTAAACTTTCTAGTTCAAGTTTGCTTAAACTTTCTAGTTCAAGTTTGCTTAAACTTTCTAGTTCAAGTTTGTTGCTTAAACTTTCTAGTTCAAGTTTGCTTAAACTTTCTAGTTCAAGATTTCTTGAACTTTCTAGTTAATTTCCCTTATGTAGTTAAACCTGAAACTCGTGCCGTTTTTTATTTAAACCATAAATCCAAGACTTCAAAGCAGCCAGCAGCTTGAATGTCGAGCTCTAAAAAATACTCTTTTTCTGATAACAAACAACCAAAAAGGTCTTCCATTTGAATTTAGGTATGTTTAAGCAAAAAGGTCGTCTTCAAATTCAGTATCAAATTTTAAAGGTTGAAATATCTGCGTTTGAAGTTTGAAAAATGGACTAAAGACCTCGTTCTGCATTTCAATAAAACTGGATTTTGGAAAATGATTTTTGATATCTACCAAATCTTATTTTGATATTTCAAAACTCATTGTAGAAAGTATTTCATCTTAATTAAACTTAGGTATTCCACACAGATGATTATGAACTGCAACTGCTACAGAAAGGCCACTGCCCGTTCTGCCGATCACCCGGTAATCTGGCGCAGGATACAGGAGGAGTTGACGAGGACGACATTTAAATACATCATATTGGGATCAGAATATTTATGAATAGGTCAGGGAGATATCCTACAGAAACAAACAAAAGATGAAACTTCAAAGAAGACCGTACGGAAATTATTAATTTTTCTAACATCCATGAAGCTTTAAACTTTCTTCTATGACAAACATTTTAACAGTAAAAAACTATATTCAAGGCAGAACAGTTTCAGAATGTTGAAATCTCATTATTTATGAAGACTATAACAACACAAAAAGTTAAACCTGGTTGAGTGTTAGAAAAACTGTTAACTTAAAAAATTGCAAATTTAAAGATATTATAAGAAAAAACTATCAAATCAAACATTTAACATAACCTTAACAATCAAACAATAATTACGAATTTAATTTTTACAGATCACAATACGTAAGATATTATTTTCCGCAGCAGGCGGACTCAATAATTTTAGCTAAGCCTCCAGGCAATTGGATTGTTTGTATGTAAAAATTAAAGTTGGTTATGGTCACAATCACCAATCAAATGCAGTGGAAAGATTTTACAAGACATTGTGGGCACTTATAAGAGCGAAAAAAATGGTAAAAAAGTACACCAACTCTAATTTTGGCATACAATGCAACACGTTATTCCAGTTCATCCAGCACATCCAGAATTTTTCTTGGTAGAGGACTAAACCTCCCCCACCTCTCCCTCTTACCAAAATTTTAACCTGAACACGCAACCCCCCCCCCCATCTCCCATTCTCTTGATGAAGAATTATAGCATTTAAAAAAACACATACAGAAAAAGAAGTAAGGAGAAAAATCAGTGCAGCACGGATCGAAGGTTTGGCTCGGAGACAGAGAAGGATTCATAACGTAAACAGAGAGTAATTAATTTTAAGTAAGATCTTGAGCTCAAAGTAGGAAGCAACTCCGACTAAGAAATTAAATATGTCTTTATAATATATTCATATTTTGAAGATGACACCATCTAATAATATGTTTCTTGAGCAACTCAATTCAGTGTCACAATCATTTAACCAAGATAAATTCTTTTTAGAAATTATGCAACAATTTTATACTTAATAGAAATATACAATTATAATGCTCTTTATTAATTTCAAAACAAAGTTGTTGAAAAATAGTCAGTAAATTATAGACACGGATTCAATATAACAATGTGATATTATAAATTCTTTTCTTTTTTGATAACAAAATGGTGAATTCAATTAAAAAGACATTTTATTGATCCTTTTAGTGTACAGTGTAAACACATAACATGTACATTGTACATGTATAATGCACAACATAACAATCAAGATATATTTACCTTAAAACTTAATAAAAAATGTAATGCAAAATACGATAAAGTGTTGGAAAAATATAATATTTTAGATAATCTTTTATATTCAAGATTTTTGATTTTCAAAATAAATCTTTAGATTTTTACATGCTTCAAGAAGATATTAATGATGTAAAAAAATAATCTGAGCCAAAAAAAAAAAACGAACCAAACCGTAATTTCGTTCACGAAGCATTGTACGCTTATGTCACAGGAAGCATTTGGTTACTGTAAAAAAGCAAACTTTTGGACAAGACAATTTTGAAATATATCTCAGATTTCTGAGAAGTCTTTTGAAGATCAAAAATCTTAACTGAACCAATTACCGTATATCCTAGTTTCTATAGAAACTTCTGTTCGCTGAGCCAGAGAGAGAGAAAGCATAAATCGTTTTTAAGAGCTTTCTTTTTGCTGAACCAGAGAGAGAGAAAGCATAAATCGTTTTTAAGAGCTTTCTTTTTGCTGAGCCAGAGAGAGAGAAAGCATAAATCGTTTTTAAGAGCTTTCTTTTTGCTGAGCCAGAGAGAGAAAGCATAAATCGTTTTTAATAGCTTTCTTTTTGCTAAGCCAGAGAGAGAGAGAGCTGAAGTTATGTATGAAGTCAAAAAGTAATTTTTCTTAAAAATTATCATAGAGAATGTTAGTGAACACAGAAGTATAATAATATCACAGATTTACAAGGGGTATTCCTGGTGAGATAACGTGTTTAGACTTTAAGGATATACATTTTAAATACAAGCTTTTCTTCAGTATATCCAATATTAAAGGAGACAACGGAAGAATTTGTATAATTATATAAATTTTTGTCAAGATTAATGAACAGCCCTGAAGTACGCAGAACAGATATCAAACGACACACGTATTTAGGGGTTTTGAAAAATTTTCAAAAAGCTTTTTATGTATAAAGGAGGAAAATATATATCCCTATAGATTGGATTCTTGATGTTTAATAATTTAAAATAAAAATGTCAGTTTGAAGGTGCAACATTACCAAATATTCGACGGCGCAAGGTTGCGCTATCTTGGAAAACATCGTTGTTATTTTGATTATCTTCTAGGACAAGGTTCTCCCGGGTTTCTTCGGCGACATGTTCCGATATATCACTAGGGGAGGTTTCGTTTTCAGGTAAGGGTGAAGGACGACATTCTTCATCGTTATCCTCAGGTTGGAGACTATGAAAAGCTCGGCGTTGATCTTGTGCAGTATGCTCTTGATATTGTGCAGCATGCTCCTGATCATGTGCAGCAAGATGCTGATATTGTACAGCATACTCCTGACCTTGTGCAGTACGCGCCTGATCTTGTGCAGCATGATGTCCATCTTGTGCAGTATGCGCCTGATCTTGTGCAGCATGATGTCCATCTTGTGAAGTATGCGCCTGATCTTGTGCTGCATGATGTCCATCTTGTGCAGTATGCGCCTGTTCTTGTGCAGCATGATGTCCATCTTGTGCAGAATTCTCATTATGTTCATCATTGATTAAATGAATTATAGGAGCTCTGCACATGGGACAGTTATCCTGTACATACAACCATCTCCTACAATATAATATATATGATAATATAACACACAACCATCTCCTACAATACAATGTATACAATAATAAAACATACAACCATCTCCTACAATATAATATATACAATAATAAAACATACAACCATCTCCTACAATATAATATATATAATAATAAAACATACAACCATCTCCTACAATATAATATAAACAATAATAAAACATACAACCATCTCCTACAATGTAATATACTAGCCTTAGAGGGCGCTTCGCGCCCATCTTCTAAATTAATTGTGAACATGTTCTCTTTGTGTACATCGTAAAACAAAACAAAAATAATTCGCGAATTTTCACAAAAAATTTCGTGGATTTTCAAAATTTTTAAAATTACACCAACACCGACAAATGTTATAAATCTAAAAAGTGAAAAAGTGCTTACTTTAAGCAGTTTGAATGGAAGAAATGGCCGCACTCTGTTTTCTTAGCAGATTGCATTTGCATATAGCAGATAATGCAAACATCTGCATGCGCTTCAAGCTCATCATTAGTTGCATCCAGCAGTTCAGATAAACGTCTAGAAAAATAAGAATTTCATTACCAAAATAAAATGCTTTATTTAAAGTAAAACTACAGTCAAGGAAAATAAAAAATATAAAACCCCCGTCTTTTTAGAGTTTTAGGGCAGTTATGCTAAAAGAGCCCGTTTTGTAACAATTTTTTAAAAAAATAAATAGGGTTTATTATGATAAAAATCCGAGGATTAACATTCATATACAATAAGATTATACATGTTTAATTTGTCATATTGGTCAAAGCATGTATATGTTTATCTTTGGATATAAAGTAATACATGATCTCCTTAGCCTCTCCGTCCTGGCTTTAACATGATCTCCTTAACCTCTCCGTCCTGGCTTTAACATGATCTCCTTAACCTCTCCGTCCTGGCTTTAACATGATCTCCTTAACCTCTCCGTCCTGGCTTTAACAACTGTGAACAGATTCTGTTCTCTAAGGTTATGGTTGTGGAGAGGAATATTACCCGGAAACAGGGATTGTGATGTAATTTTGAAGTAATAGAAAGTTTTAAACTACATTTCTGCTTTTTAAAGATTAACTAATCACATTAACCCGACCCTTTTAAAACCTTAAGTATACATTATATTGTTCAAAAACTTACTTTTTAGTTTCTCTTCGGGACATGTAGGTCGCCCAACCCGAGGCGATCCTCTGGTAGATGTTGAAGTAGCAGTGTATCAAGAGGATGAAGGGATTCAATAACGAAGCCTCTGTGTCCTCCATCATGTACTCATACATACCTGTATCATTATGTACAAATTAAGTTTATTTTCCAGTAGATAAAATATCTGTACAAGAGTTTTGAATAATTACATTTTTTTATTATTAAACCTCATGTCTATATAATATTCTGTTATTCAGTTATTTAAAAAAAACAATTTCCATGTAATTTTGGAATAAATGACCTACCACCGGTCACAATTGAAATAGCAACCAAGAGTTCAAATCCTTTTGTTCCAGCCTAAATTATTTGGAATATATAAATAGTTTTATAGTATCTAATGTATGTATGTATGTTTGTAACTATATCTATGTGTGTTAATAAATTTTTAATAATAATAATAATAAAATGACGTAGTAGTTTGAACAAATTATGCTATTTAAAATGCTTGTGAGAATAATAAGCAGAAAATTTACCACCATTTACTGCCATGAGTAGATAAAATAGGAAGAAATTGGAAAAATATTATTATTTCTTAAGTTGAATTTCAGTGATCGATATAATACCTTAATATAGAAAACATAGTCGTCCATATGCTCTGATGCTTCAGGTTGGAACGAATCCCACATAAACAGGGAGTAGGTTACTAGAGCTCCTACCACCTAGATATAGTAGGTTACTAGAGCTCCTACCCCTAGATACAGTAGGTTACTAGAGCTCCTACCCCTAGATACAGTAGGTTACTAGAGCTCCTACCCCTAGATACAGTAGGTTACTAGATATCCTACCACCTAAGATAAGATAAAGTTTATTGCTAAAATACATGTATCTGTATACAGAACGAGTTTACAATTACAAATTGATGATTATATTAACAGTACAAGTATAAAGCAATTAGGTGGAAAATAGCTCTTGGCTGTTTTGATTATTTTTTCCACCTAATTTTAATAATAATAACAAAACATTTCAATTAAATAGATTTAAGGAGAACGATTAGAGATTAGGGTGCGAATTTATCTTATGCAAAATAGTTTATATATTAATTCGAATAACTAGAGTTTAAAGTAATTTTCTGACATGTACACAACAAATATCAAAGCATATTAAAACATATCTAATTAGTTTTACATGAATAGCAATTCGGTTTATAACACATTGTCATGTAATTTTCAAAAATATGGTAATATGGTAATATGGTAATATGTTCGATGAAGTTCCATTAAATTGAAATTTGTACAAAAATACTAAATAAATCATTTAATTTAATAAATGTAAGTATATAAACATCTACCTGGATAACTGTAACGAAGTAGCTGGAAATGACAATTATCAGCCATAAATCATTGGAGACCTAAAACAAAGATATATTACTGTCATGAATGTCTTGAATCTAATTCTATCAAATATTACTGTCATGAATGTCTAGAATCTAATTATATCAAATATTACTGTCATGAATGTCTTGCATCTAATTCTATCAAATATTACTGTCATGAATGTCTTGAATCTAATTCTATCAAATATTACTGTCATGAATGTCTTGAATCTAATTCTATCAAATATTACTGTCATGAATGTCTTGAATCTAATTATATCAAAAATTACTGTCATGAATGTCTTGCATCTAATTCTATCAAATATTACTGTCATGAATGTCTTGAATCTAATTCTATCAAATATTACTGTCATGAATGTCTTGAATCTAATTCTATCAAATATTACTGTCATGAATGTCTTGAATCTAATTATATCAAATATTACTGTCATGAATGTCTTGAATCTAATTATATCAAATATTACTGTCATGAATGTCTTGAATCTAATTCTATCAAATATTACTGTCATGAATGTCTTGCATCTAATTCTATCAATATAAATAGATTTCTATGCTGTCAATACTGCCTAAGTGGTTTTATATCCGTCCCAAAAGATTTATTTTCCACATCAAAAACCAACTTTCGATTCCATAAATCTTTTACTTTACAATCTATTTTTTTTTTTATTGGTTCTATGAGTTTCATTTTCAGTTCCAAAAAGATCATTTCCATTCCACAATTTTAGTTTCTTTCCCAATAGGTCTTTTTCCTAATATCCCTAAGAACTTGTAAAATGGTTTAAAGATTTCTCTGATCATAATCCTTACTCCAGGTACCTTGTCAAACACTGAGAAGAGGATGAGAATGGGTATAACAAGGATACTGAGAACAACTAGTAGGACGGGTATATGGGATATTAATCTTCTATTAATGGCAGGCAGAGCTAGCAAAACAGGACAGGACACCTGCATGGTTCAATAAATATAAAATATAAATAAAATTCAGAGTACAGTGTGTCCCATTAAACATAATAATTGAAAAACGACTAGAGGGACTGTAAGCGTGATTTCAAGTAACCCTCCATGCAGAGATGGTAATGCCCGATTTGCAAAGGTATCCTTAAAAGCTTTTTCTGGTTAAGTATAAAATTGTGGTTTATTTACAAAAGTGACTTGCGCATTTCTACTGCATACTGCAGGAAAACATAGGAATCATTAAAATTTAACATTTTTTAACTTTCAAGGTAAGGAGAAAGAATGAATGCAGTTTTGTGTGCAATTCGGTTTAAAATATCTAAATCTATTTATCTTTATATCTTTATTTAAAACCAAATCTCACGTTATTTCTGGTAAAGATTGAATTTTTTCTCCACCTTCAAAAACATTTTTTGAGAAGATCAACATCAGCAGAGATGTACAAATAACTATTTTTAGCATTTAAAAGTAAAAATATTTTGCCGGAAGATATATAGGTGTGGCTAGGAAGTTAAACGGGTAAGTGCAGTGCCGCGACTCTGTGAGTAAATTGCGGAATGGAAGCTATAAGGGTGTGGTTTATTTTATTTAATAATTTTGCTTAAAGTAATATCCTAAAATACACACGTGATCTTACATCCCCTCTACCATGATTATGTTAATAATAACGACCACTTTATTATATGATGAGAGATTGGCGAAGAATTCAAGAATAATCCAAACCTCGAAGGCAGACTGTATGAGAGTGCTGGTAACGTTGAAGATGATCGCATAAGTTGCGGCAATTCGCACTGGCATTTCCATATCAATCAATCCAGTCTAAATAAAACGAAAAGTATACATTTTTGTTATGCATAGCAATATAGTTAGTGAAATGATTCTCCTTTCTTCTAAAGAAAAATATTTTAAAAAAAATCTTTTCTGGATCTTTTTCCTTAGACCCCAACTCCGGGCCACCTCAAAACTTAATTCAGCCTTTTAACCACATTACCGAATAAAAGAAAAAAATAGTGTTTTAAGAAGGCTTCAGAAAGGGTAAACCTGAAGTGCTAGGACGAAGGCCACCATCCCCTCCGTAAAACCAGTTTGTGCGAGAGGGTTCTCCACCCCAACCTCACCCCCAGCACACTTACGGAAGATCCAGAGCAAAGTGTCCATTACTGAATCCACGAATATATAAACAATTTATAATTGGATAATGTAAAAATGGCAATTAAAAACAATAAAAACAACTGGAAACAAAAATAAGATTTATAAAATAAATTGCTTTTTCATAAATATTTTTTCTCTCTCTAAAATTAGAGAAAAATACCTGCTTTAGAAAGTCCCATGATAGTTGTACACAATCCGATCAGGATAAGCGGAGTATAACAAGTTTCCGATATTATAACTGTCAAATCAACCAACCAATCCTAACAAATACAAAATATAAAATACATTAAAAGATTTTGGGGAAGATTTTGATTTTAAACAAAACTTTAAAACATTCCTTTATTGAGGAGATGTCGGGCTTATATTTTTCATCGATCCTTTTTCCATATTTTTATCTTATTCTCGTTATCTCTGTTCTTAAGAGAGTGGAATGTAAGGCAAAATAAAACAGTTTTGAGCAACTATAAACTATAATAAAAATCAAGCTGTTTTCTTAGTTATGCTTAGTATACTTCGATACTAATATCTGACCATAAAAAAACATCCATTATATTCATACTTAGTACCATTTTTTCTACTGTGACTTGTGCATTTCTGATTCAGAAACAATGTAGAACTATCAGAATGTCAGAACTAAGAACTTTTGAAGCCAGAAGAACGACGATATCTTCCACATTATTGGTCAGAAAAAGGTTTAAATGACGCCGGTCTAAACCTCAATAAATGTCATAAGATTAATAAGATTCCAACCTACCCTGTCTTCAATGATGTAAGTCTTGTCAGTGTCCAGGTCCATGTAGTAAAACCAGGCCTAGTGAATTATAACAATGATAATGATAATACACGGTCAAAAAGTATTTGGTATTCAATTTCAGAGGAGTGGAAAATAAGGCAGTTTCCCTTTTCTTTATTTCCCCCTCCCCTTTTGGATGGGGGAGGAGTGTTTACTGTTGAAGTGCACTCCCCTTCAGGCTGGGGGGAAGTGGGGAGGCTTTGAGATCCTGTACCTTTTATTCCTGGAGTTTCTTCAATTAGACTCGGTTACCTGAGAGGAGAATGAAAATATCCAATATAGAACTAGAACTGGAGGTTGAAACCCTCTGAGAGCAATGAGAAGGACGAACTGTATGTTTCCTAGCTCCTCCCACACTACAGAGTAGATATCCTTCACCTGCAATATCCAGAGGTTTATTTAGTTGTAATCTGTGTGTCTGTTTGTTTTTATGTCCGATCATAACTCAGCATCCCCTTGACCGATTTGCCTCAAATTTTAATTTGGGAACTCGGGAGAAACACTGAAATGTTCTTAGCTTGGTTTTGAGATTCTAAGTTAAGTGGGTCTACTTTTATAGGGAAAAAATACCTAAAATCGTAATTTACAACCAAGCGCGGGTAAACGGCGGTAGTAACTAGTATGTAAGTACCCCCAGGATGCCTCAAGTTTCGATTGAGGAACTCGGGAGAACCATCGGAATGTTCTTAGCTGTGTTTAAAAGTTTCAGTTAAGAAGGTCGACTTTTGTAGAAAAAAACTTAGTTTCCCAGGCAAACCTGGGTTTCTGCGCTAGTTTAGTATAGTTTTAGATAAAAGTGTTTATAGATCTTGAAGAATGTTGAAGAATTGGTTTTAAAAACACATAGACGAGCCAAATGGTCCAAAAAGGATTGAAATTAAATCTAATTTAGAATCCAATTATCAAAGGATCCAAGAAAACAAGGATAAAAAGTCAAAGGATTCAGGATTCAGGAATAATCAAGGATCCTAGAATCCCTGAATCCCAGAATCCCAAAATCTAAGAATCCAAGAATCAAGGATTCCAAACAGCATTCAAGAATATTGTATAAATCTAAGTATTACCGCTGACATATATCTGAGGACAGTAGGAACAGTTTTCAATGTGTAGAGAAGAATAACCCCGGTCATGAATTTATCAATCACTAACAGAATACTCTAAACAGTATTTTAGGATATTATCATTATTATTAATCAACCTCTAGAAAAAGAAACAGGAAATATACAAAACATCTCACAAGTAGTTTTGGTCTAACAGTCAATCTTTTGATTTTTTAATGATAAATATTTTGTTTCCCGGCCACACTCTTACGTTAAAGTAAAAAGAAAAATTTCTAGAAAGATAAATAATGATTTTCCTGATTCTTATTAACTTAACCCTATCCCTGCTGGGGTACTTGAAAACCAGGATACGCTGGGGGGGGGGGGGGTCAATTTCCAAAAAGCTAAATTTTATCAAAATCTGACAAGTGAAAGTGGGTCAAAACAAAGATTTAGTTTGTTACAGGCAAAAGCAGTCATTCAGGCAGTGTGCCTGAGGACTCAGGCAGTTAGTATTAAAGCCCGGTAAAAAAAACTACAGGAGGGGGGTCAAATTGACCCCCCCCCCCAGCAGGAATAGGGTTAAAGAATACAAATTAAAAACCTAGTCTGCACTGTGAGTATGCAATATGCATAGAAAAAAAACATATTTTAAAATTTTTTTTAAATGATAGGATCTATTTTGAAGCAAGAATAAATAAAATAAATAAATCAACTCTACCTGATAGTTCACAGTAGAGAACCCCGCTAATGCCATAAAAATGGGTAGGGTGTAGAGAGATGGGAAGAGCAAAGGAAACAATCCCTTTTTTCTTAAACTCCAGTTTAATATAAAAGTTAGAAGAAGGATATAGAGGATACTTTGAACCTGAACAAACAAACAGATTAGGAAGTTAAAATATTTTCATTGGAAAGTTTTATTTTGACTGACACGATAACATATTAACAAGCGCAATTTAAACAAAAATACTTTTATCCTTTCTTCCTTGAAAGATTTAGTGGGATTCGTTTGAGAGCTTTTTTTCTTATTTTCTTTGTTCACTACAAATTCTTTACAATACCTCTTAGTAATATCGAAATGTACAATAATATCTAGAAATAGTATTAGCATTTTTTTGTAGATTTATCTGCTAGATCTATTTTTCTTTATATATAAATATTGCAAATAAATTTCTTATTTCGGTCAGGAACCTTTTTATTGTTATTTTTGTTGAATGCTAACAAACCAACCAACAGACAGGACAAATAAAAATATTTGTAATAAATGAAATAAAATAAAAAAACTGAATAAAACCTACACAAGCCTGGACGGATAGTTTAGTTGATATATCTGGTAGAAGCATACTAGTGATGGTGTGAGCTAGGTATACAAGTCCAACACTAATAATATGAAGATAAATATCAACCAGGTCACGCAGGGACAGTAATAATCCACATAATCCCTAAAAATCAACAAAACTAATAATAATAAAAATTTCATACTTTCTTTCATCAAAAATGTTTTTATTTTTTAAATATATAACCAAAAATAAAATAAATAATAAAAACTACTGTCCATAAAAGTTTAAAATTTATAATTTTCCAAAATAATGAATTGAAATATTGCAAATTGGCAGTGCAGGATGTTTTTTTACTTGATTATCCCAAGAGTCGGTTGATTAACATAATTTTCCGCTAAGTGATGAATCATAGTGTCAAAATATTTTTAAAAATTAAGTTGATAAAAACGTACTAACCAGGAGGAGAAGAGAAAAACTGATTGCAGTTTCTCCCAAGTTCTCAGGTTCAAATGATTCAGGGATCAAACTTGAGGCTCGTTCAGTCCAACAGATATCAAGTATCAGTAGTCCTACAGATAAAGATATCATAAATGTATGAATAAATCAACTAAATGTATGAATAAATCAACAAAATGTATGAATAAATCAACTAAATGTATAAATAAATCAACTAACTGTATAAATAAATTAACTAAATGTATGATAAATCAACAAAATGTATGAATAAAACAACAAAATGTACGAATAAATCAACAAACTGTATGAATAAATCAACTAAATGTATGAATAAATCAACTAAATGTTTGAATAAATCAACTAAATGTATGAATTAATCAATAAATGTATGAATAAATCAACTAAATGTATGAATAAATCAACAAAACGCATGAATGTATGAATAAATCAACTAAATGTTAAAATAAATCAACAAAACGTATGAATAAATCATCTAAATGTATGAATAAATCAACTAAATGTTAAAATAAATCAACTAAACGTATAAATAAATCAACAAAATGTATGAATAAATCAATTAAATGTACGAATAAATCAACAAACTGTATAAATAAATCAATTAAATGTATGAATAAATCAACAAAATGTATAAATAAATCATCTAAATTTATGGATAAGTCAACTAAATGTATGAATAAATCATCTAAATGTATGAATAAGTCAACTGAATGTATGAATGAAGTATACCTGGTACCCTTAAAATGCACAAAAGCCCTTTTAGTAGAAAACCTTCCTGTTCCGGAATGTCCCATATTGACATTAGACTCTGAAAGGGGTAACTTGACTTGACGCACTTGAAATAATAATCTATGTGCAATTCACATTTTATAAACTCAACTAAATATTTTACATTTAATTAAACCTAAGTTTCTATGATCCTGTAATAATATAATATAAAGCAGCTAGGAGAACAATAAGTATAATTAAAGCAACAAGATAAACCAAGAGTTTATTCTGCTGAGCTCGGAAAAGTATAGTTGAGAGGATTGTTGAACTCCGGGTTAGACCCGTCTCCACGTCCCTCAACCTACCCCGGGACCTCTCCAGGGTCTCTCTTTGGTTTCCTAGATCAGATAACACGCTAGCTCCGATATCCTCTGTTTCCTGGAGTAGTCTCCGTCCAGCTTCCAGCTGCTGGCCGGATGACTCTAGAACCTCCATATTCTCCAGCAGCATATCCGTCTCCTTCTCCCCGACCTCCGAACTGTGAGAGAAGAGTTCAATCCTTGCTTTTCTCTCCTCTGCTTCTCGTTTACAGGTGATATAAACAGATTTTAATCTCTCCAACTCCTTCCTGTAGCTGATACATCTTCCCCGAACCTTCTCCTTTAAACCAGGTTCAAGGTTTGGAGTTTCGAGCTCAATCTGCTCCAGGGTCTCCTCTGCGTCTCTGTAGAGTAGGTCTAGGTTCCGGATGAGTTCCTCTGATACTTCAGCCCGGGGTGAGTGTTTTAGCTTACCGCAGAGGACGGTTATCTCCGCACAGGTGTTGGAGAACTCCTCCTCGTATTCCTTCACAATATGGTTCATTCTCAAGGTTTAGTCAGCTATCGGATAATTTGAGATAAAGTACAAAATCCTATATTTGTAAACAAAACATACAGATATTGCTCATTTTGCATTGGTACTTCAATTAATTATTCATTTTTGAATCTGAAAATAATTTTGTTAAAATTAAAACTAGTTGATTTAGTAAATCGGACACTAACTTGGGATACACAGGGTATTCTACTAAACATGATAATTGAGAGACAACACGCTATTTAACAAGTTTAGTAAAACGACCGTCCCTGTATACAAATAGGTATAGACACAAATAAAAACACTGTCGTGTACATGCGTTTTAATATGTTGGTTCGACACAAATAGTTCATAAATTAATCAATCAATTCAATTTTGAGAGAGATATCTTTCTGAAAATATAATATTTATATATTGACCTTTTAGAATTCATTGATTGTAAAAATTTTAATATTTCGAGCTAAACGTGCCGCTTTAGTTGTTGCAAACGTCATATTGAAACAATGCAGGAGTGAGTTTAGAAAATCTGTCTAAAAACTTCTCGAAACATTTGACATTTGACTCTATAAAATGACGAAATTTAACTAAAACTTACCTACAGATAACATATGTATTATGTATACATCTGTGGCAACTTCAGAAATCAGCTGTTTAATTTGTTTTGTTTTAGTATTTGGTTTGGTTTGATTAAAAATATCATTTTTTTTAATGAGATATTTATGAATATTATTTAAGAATAATCAACAAAATTTAGTTTTTCTTATCAATAAATAGAGAAATAAATTTTTTAAAATTTTATAATTTGTTATTTGTAAACCCTGTTCAACTGTCAGTTACAGTACACAAGAAACCAAACCAAACAATTAGATCAAAATACGCAGAGAGGGGCAGGGAAGCCAGTTGTGTTACTGCGTAAATTGGTGAAAGTTTACGCTCCCTTGTTGCGTATAAAAAGCGTCTAATTAAATAAATTGATACAGGTTTAGATTTTGTTCTCCTATCAATTTTGTACATGGGTCTGACAGGAAGTTTCTTAATTTAACATAACCCGTGGCCGCAGCGCTCGGCCCCCTAGCCCATCCTAGCCGCAGCGCTCGGCCCAGAAAGTATCTTAACCTAACCTAACCTTAAATATCAAAAAAATAAATAATAATAAATTTGTTGAAAAATAAATGGTCATTTACAAATTGATAGGAGGGGGGGGGGGCCCAAAAATCTTTCACTAGGACAGACCCTATCCAGTTAAAAAGATATCACGCTTTTTCAGAATTTATATTTTTTTCATTTTAACAATAATAAATTTTTGGTAGACATCTATTGTACGCTATTCAGGAATGACATGAAAATATAAGGATGGGATGAATTGACCGCCATCTCTTTACATTCGCTATCATTACTAATTCATATGCAACATTTTTAAAATTTTCCTTTTACATAATTTAACAATAATTTCTCCTTTTTTAACAATTGAGATTTGTATTTAAATAGAAAAAATATTGGTTTATTTGATATTTTGTCCTTTGGATCCGGATCCACGGATTTGTACACTAAGCACTGTTTGGATCGTTAACGACTCTAAATTACGATTTTCGGAACTAATCAGAAAATTTATGAAGAATAAATCATTTAACTTAAAAATTTATTAAAGCCAATATAAAAACTCGCTGGTAATTTCCTAGAGAACGATTTTTGACCCCCCCCCCCCCGAAAACATTTTTACCGACTTTATGTGTTGATGGCGAAGTTGCCGGGTAAATAATTCTGGACTTTCTATGTTCGCCATCGGTTTGTCGGAGACTAAATGTTTACAGGGCTGCCCCCCCCCTCATATGTAACACATAAAATAAGTAATAATAATTTTGCTGAAAAATAAGTGGTCATGTACAATTGATAGGAGGAAGGGGAGGGGGGGGGGGGTCCAAAAATCGTTCTTGAGGACAGACTCAATTTGCTTGCAGAAAATGCTAGGTTTTTCGATTTGTATGTGCGTATTTTGGCGTCAAAACTTTGAGATAATCCAATATGAATTGGGATGTTCTGTATAATATTACTTGTTTTCAGAGATATCAACGGATTGATGCCTCGACGCCGAGGTGTTGCAAGCCTGTACTCCCTGGGGGTGTCAGCAACCTCTAACCTTCTTCTTCAAGGATGTCAGAAATGTGATGCTAATACCGACCTATTCTCCTACCCACCCAGTCCAACAAGTAGGTTTCCGATTTTTAGTAAATTCTGAAGGTTTCAGATTTTGAAGAAATTTAGCCTATATTTTTTTTTTGGGTTTTTTCAGTTTGGTGAATTTTGTGTATGGAAAGTCTTAAATCTTTATTTTGGGGTCAAATTTTTTTATTAAAGGGCATTTTTAAAATAAATAAAGGGGCAGTTTTTTAACTAAGGGTTATTTATTTTGTTGGGGGCAAAACTTCTAAATTTTTTGAGCATTATCAAAATATAATAAGGGGCTTTTTTTTAGATAGGGCTGTAAATTTTAAAGTTGGTTGTACTTGTATTTATAAAACATTTGTGGATAAAAAAAATGAAATTTAGGTACAAATTAAAAATATTAGGCTGCATTCTAAAATAAAGGATTACAAATGTTGAATAAAGGGGCAAATTAAAGTCTGGTGGAGCAATTTGAATAAGAATGTGTGAGTGTAATTGAAAAAATCCAAATTTGGAGGCATTTTTTAAAGAAAGGGAAAAAATAAAAAGAATTTGAGCTTTTATTGAAAAATGTTATAGTTGAATTTTAGTTTGCTTAAAGAGTGTAGGTTTTAAAAAAAGCTACTGTGGGGGCATATTTTTTTCAAATTTTCGAGAAAATTGGCTATTTGTTGAACTATATGAACCCCTGTTAAGAACTTCTTGCGCCTCCTACAGGGGGGGGCAAGCTTTCTTAAGGGGGAAATGCCCCTCCCCTCTAGTTGCGCGCCTGGAGGGGTAGGTTAATAACTCCAGTTAACAGAAATAAATTACATATTGGTAATCTGAAATGTAAATTTGAGTTTCACAAGTTTTCCAGATTATATAATTTCCAGATTATATAATTTCTGAAAAAAACGTTATTTTAGTTTTTATTAAATCTCAGCTTATTGTGTTTTAAGTAAAATATGTGAAATTATGGGTGTTAGGTCCACATTTTATGGAAACCATTTCATAGATAACAAAGCCATAAAATGTCTTTGTATAAAAAGTCTTTTATGAAATGTGTAAATACAAAATTTTGGGGGTAAGGGATGGATTTCTGGGGAAAGTCTATCTTTAAAAAGGTTCAAAGTTCTGCATTTTTCCATTGGGCCTCGAAAACTTTCCCCCAACCCCCTGTTTTAAGAAATAAATAGACTGGGAACATTTTTATTTATTAGTTTACAAAATATATTTCAGAATCCCCAACGAAAATCAAGATCTCTCCGTGTCGTTATGAAGTCGACACGACCCTGTCGGTTGAACTACGTGTCGTCAAGGACTGGTTGGGGAACCTCCCCGATACCGTGGTCGAGGAGGTCGTCTCATCAACCCTCTTCAACCTCGAAGCTAGGCTTCTCGTGGACAAGGACAAGAAGCTCATCCTCACACTCATTAACATTGAAACCATTAAAATGAATGATTTCTTTTTTGGAATTCATTCACTGTTAAACATTCTTCGTGGATTCTGCATCACAAATTTGAATATTTCAAAACGGTAATATTTCTTCAATTCTTAATACTTTTTTTGCTTGATATCGATATCCAATGTGGGCACTGTCGAATTTGATGAGAAACGCTTAAACCCTGCAGGAAATACCCACCACCTCATATCGAAGAGGAATTAAATCATTCCGTATTATCAAGCAAAAAACAATTTAATGCGTCATTTTTCTTTACTAGGCTTTTAGGGCGCTTCGCGCCCATCTTCTATTTCAATTGTGAACATTTTCTCTTTGTATACATTGTAAAACATAAACAAAAAAAGTTCGCGGATTCATAAAAAAATTTCGTGGATTTTGAAAATTTATCGGAAATCGAATTTTGTTGGAGGCAAATTTTTGAAATTTTGATCATTTTATAAACCTTCCCTAGGGTCATGTGAGGTACCACAAACAATTTGAGCCAGATCGGTTCATCCGTTTTGACGTTTATTGGATACAAACAAACAGACAAGCAAAGTATCTATATTGAAGATGTACTTTCCATAAAATCACGAGTAGAACGCGTTTTTCTTATCTTTATGCCATGTTGTGTAAAAGGCTGTGGTGTATTCTCTGGGAGTATGAAGAGATACTGAACTCTAAACTACTAAGAGAAGTTGTTGCAACCGCTCTACCTCATCTACCTTCACTCTCTACCCTGAACCTGGCTTATTTAGCTGATGACAGGTAGTGGGTCGGGGGGGAGTTACATACCTGATTCACAACGGCGTCCTTTAAATCATTCTCTGAGGAAAGGAAATGGAGATGATATCAATGTGTTTTTTTCTTTAACTTTTGGGGTTTTCATCAAGAAATAAACTTGTTTCTTTCTTTGCCTATTCAAGACATGATAAAAATGTACCAAAAGCAGAATAATAAATGCAACCATGAGATCGTCATATTTTAAGAGTTTTAGCTCTTCTTTACAGTCTTATCCTATGTGGGTAACCCTGTATAGTCGACAGTTCTTTCTAAGGACTAAAGTTGGGAGAAAAACGTTTTTAACTGGTATTGTCTGGTATTTGATCCGTATTGTCTGGTATTTGATCCGTATTGTCTGGTATTTGATCCGTATTGTCTGGTATTTGATCCGTATTGTAGGATGATGATCACTATCGGGAAGTATCTTCCTTGTCTCCTATCCCTGGATATATCCAACAGTTTGGTCACGGACCGAGGTATAAAACTGCTGGCAGGATCTTCTAGTGTATCCTCTCCTCGTCTACAACCTAGTCCTAGTGTTGTCAGGAACCTATCCAACCTCCTAGATACTGAACCTATACTAATAGAATATTCAGGTATTAAACTAGTTTTTATACTTTATAATGTTTTTGTTCTGTTCTAATTTTCACCTAAAGGGTTGACAGATACCAACCAACCAATGGTTTTATTTGGTTAGCAAACTGGCTGGAATTGGGGCCTCTTACAGATTTCACTTCTGTATGATTCCTTGTTGTATTGTATTTGCTATATATTTTTGTTTCACCTCCTTTGCATTTTTTGTCAGTGGATTTTTCTCAGCTTAAAAGTATATATGAGCTGAAGCAAGAAATCTTCATATCTTTGTTTATATAAAAGTATACTCTAGTTGAAGCAAGGAATCTTCATATCTTTGTTTATATAAAAATATACTCTAGTTGAAGCAAGGAATTTTCATATCTTTGTTTATATAAAAGAATACTCTAGTGGAAGCAAGGAATCTTGATATCTTTGTTTATATAAAAGTATACTCTAGTGGAAGCAAGGAATCTTGATATCTTTGTTTATATAAAAGTATACTCTAGTGAAAGCAAGGAATCTTTATATCTTTGTTTATATAAAAGTATACTCTAGTTGAAGCAAGGAATCTTCATATCTTTGTTTATATAAAAGTATACTCTAGTGGAAGCAAGGAACCTTCATATATTTGTTTATATAAACAAGTTTACTGCAGTTTCTGTTCGGAATATAAACAAAACTCAACCGGAGAAGCATTGTTTTTTATTTACATTCTTCCAAGATATTGCAGTACACTTATTATGTAAACAAAGTTTGTTGAAGAAAAGAATGTTCTTGTTTAGACCGTGATATCACCTCTCTCTCCACTGAGCTGAAACCAGTTTTCTTGAAACTAGAATCCTTGACAATGCAGTCCTGTGATTGTATCACGGAGTGTGGTATCCGGTTTATCCTGGAGAAATATAAAAACATGAAAACCCTGGTTTATCATCAGCGGAGATCTGTCTTCGAGATCATCATCAAGTGGAGCTCTGAGATGGAACATGAAGATATTAAATCTAAAATTGTGAAACTAGAAATGTTGGAACATGGATTTCCTTACGGTGTTACACCGTTCAGGTAATATGCTATTAATTTGAAGTATTTGTACCCAAAGACCCCACTCTTATAAAAGTAATATACTTTCTGTTAAATGAACATTTTTTTACATATTTCAGTATATAGCCTCTATTTACCTTTTAGAACTCGCTGATATGAAAATATTTAAACCTATTTTAATGAAAAAAATGTTACGGAATTCTCATACCAACATTACTAAAAGATTATTTCCACATCTCACTAATATAGTTTAGTGAACAGATTACGCAGTGTATGTCCATATCTCACTAATATTGTTAAGTGTGAACAGATTAACAGATTAGTCAGTATATTTTCATATCTCACTAATATTGTTTAGTGAACAGATTACTCAGTATATGTCCATATCTCACGAATATTGTTTAGTGAACAGATTACGCAGTGTATGTCCATATCTCACTTATATTTTTAAGTGTGAACAGATTAACAGATTACTCAGTATATGTCCATATCTCACTAATATTGTTAAATGTGAACAGATTAACAGATTACGCTGTATATGTTCATATCTCACTTTTATACTGTTTAGTGAACAGAGTAAAAGATTACTCAGTATACGTTCATATCTCACTAATATTGTTTAGTGAACAGAGGAAAAGATTACTCAGTATATGTCCATATCTCATTAATATTGTTTAGTGAACAGATTAATAGATTACTCAGTATACGTTCATATCTCACTAATATTGTTTAGTGAACAGATTAACAGATTACTCAGTATATGTTCATATCTCACTAATATTGTTCAGTGAACAGATTAACAGATTACTCAGTATATGTCCACATCTCACTAATCTGAACCTGGTGACTGATGACAGTATTTTACCTTATCTTTCAGGTTTGATTTTCTTTATCATCAATCAGCTAAATTTATAAACGGTGCCTTGTAAACCAAGTATAGCCCAAATAAATCTGTGGTTAATTTAACATTTTAATTGATTGGGGTTTAACAAATTAGGTTAGAAAAAGTTGGTCAAGTTTTAAGAGTTTAGGGCTTTAATGTTGCACAGAATTATTATTAATCTAACCCCTTAGCCCAGGGGAGGACCTAGAAAACAATTAGTAGGTTCGTTCGCTCTAAATCAATTTACATTGCATCCAAATGGTATTATGTACATATGTACAGTTTAAACTTATTTTCTTCTTAAAAAGCCAGTCGACTAAAACGTCATAAATTAGTTATTTATTTCTTATTTAGGTTTCTCCCATCTCTCTAGTTTAACAGTAGAACTAGAGGATTGGATCGGAGAGGGTTTTATAACATTTCTCCGGACTAGAGGAGAACACTTGAGGTTAGTTTATAACATTTCTCCGGACTAGAGGAGAACACTTGAGGTTAGTTTATAACATTTCTCCGGACTAGAGGAGAACACTTGAGGTTGGTTTAGTATATTCACACACATAATTAACGATCCGCTTACCCTCGTAAAATAGCAGTAGTCCGAAGGAAATGCACTGAACACATGACACTGAAACTCGAATCCCTATTTCTTTGCAGCCTGATGGATGAATTTCATTTCAAAATTTGAGTATTCAATCTTTTTTTAGAGAGATCTCTGTGTCCTGCAGTACAGATCCTGACTCAGTCCTGGAAACAGTAGAGGGAGGACAACAAGGACATCTCTTTAATATAGTTGTCCTAGCCGTAGCAACACTCTGTAGTAAGGTAATACAGAATCATGATTGAATCTCAAAATCTAAAAGTCATTGTCTCGTATCAAAGAGACTGTAGCCCTATATAGAGAGTGGCATGACCGATTCACTTTTAAAGAGAACCAACAATTGAAAATGAACCGTTTTCTGATAGGAAAATAGGAATATATAATTTTACTGAATATCAGAAAATTTTCCGTTTTTGTTTTTCTACTTTTATGATTTATGCAGCAGAGACAAGGTTCAAGCCAGCCTTGTAACGCTTAATTAAATGGAAAGTCGCTTAAAATTTTGTCAATAGTCATTTAGCTATATTTTCTCTAGGTTACCAAACTGTCTGTATCCGGGTGTGGATTAGTGTCATCACAAATAGTTGAATCACTGGAGCTGCTCACCCATTTAAACTCAACACAGTGGATCAGGAACAATTCTAGAAACTGGTTCAGGTACTACCCATTAATCAATCAATCAATAAATAAATAAAATTCTCAATAATTAATCAAATCGTATATTTCTCTAAAGTGTTAATTATTTCCCAAATCTGATCAAGATCAATCAATCAACAGCTGTATGTTATCAGGAACCTGGAAGTTCTGATGTTGATGTCCTACGAAGAGACTCTTCCTTCCATGACAATACATTCCGTTCTGCTCCAGTATATATTAAAGGCAGTCTCTAGTCTCCAGATTCTATCCTTGGAGGGAAACTTCGGAACCTTCTTTACTGACGACTATTTAAGATCCGTCCTGTTAGAGAACAGGTTTCCCCAGCTCCGCATACTTGATATATCAGTAAATGATCAGGGTGGAGTGCCGGGTAGTATCCCGCTAACAATCTCCAGTGCTCAGTCTCTACTGGAGAAATGTGATCTTTTGTCCGAGCTCAGAATATCCGATTGGGATATATCTGATACTGAGTTTACTGGACTCCAGGAGCAAGTAAACACTAACAATTGGAACCTGTCTCTAACACGGAAACGGAGAGTCGTATAACCTTGTCTAGTCAAATTCTCCATCCGGATAAATTTTTGTTTTCTCTCGGATCTCGTCAATGTATTATTTAATATTTTTATAGTTATCAAATTGCAGCTTAACAATACATTCTGTAAAAGTTAATTTATATAATAGATATTGTATAGATGAATTATATTTACATTATTAGGCACAAGCAGTGTTTTATATGCACCGTTTTTCAGATGTTTAGAATATGCAAACGGTTCCAAGTGTTAAGAGAACCTGGAGTCAGGTTTCTCAGCTCTGAGATGCTGATCTGGAGAAACGAGGCCGCGGAGAGAGGACGAATTTCCCCAACCGTTGTACTATTTGGTTACGCTGGTTCTCCTAAATCCCACCTGGAGAAGTATGAAACCTTGTATACTTCTCTAGGTTATAACTCTGTCTGCTGTATTCTACCACATAAAGAACTGTTTGCGTATAATATTCCAGAAATTCAGGAACAGACATAAAAATATTAGATCATCCATTTTATTTATATCTTGCTGGCTGTATGAAATTCTAAATATGTTTAATGAACGAAGGAACAAATTTTAAAAAGTTTAAGATTAAAATAATTGACAGAGTTTTATTGATAAATTAGTAAATTCATTTTAACATAACAAATGTTACCAATACGTTCAATAGTGTATACATTAAACCCAGTTCTCCTTTGGGTCGATTGTTTAGCTAAAATTTAATCAAAAAAAGATCTTAAAACATTAAGCTAAACGATATGTTTGGTCCAATCTAAAAACCTAATTTCCATGTTTTCCTCTTTACCATGAAACTCCCCCCCCCCCCTTTCCCACCCACCATAGATTTTATTTAGTTAAGGCGAACATAATCTCTTATTTTCCCTTCCTTATTTACCAATCTGTTCACAGAAATGCGCAGAGAAAGTGCTCTCTGTGATTGAATCCAGTGGTGCGCAAAATATAGTGGCGCACTGTTTCTCAAACAATGGAATCGCCCTGTACCAACAAACCTATACTATACTTAATACACAGAAAAGGGCAGAGTGTTATATAAAGGTTTACCAAATTGTTTTTACGAAACTTAAGTCTGACTAAATAATTTATACAGATAAATTCTATTTGTTTTACTTGATTTACATTTTCTTAAATTGATTAATGATAAATAAAATACTGTCTTTAACCTTTAAAAAAATATTTTTTTTTCTGAAATCTGAGGAAATGTCTAAATATGTTTTAGGGGTTAATTTTGGACTCAGGTCCTGGTCCTATGGGACTAAGAGATAATGTTCTAAAGAGGATCTTCAATGATAAACAGGTTTTAATAAGGATCAAATTAAAAGTTCGGAAGATTAATGTTTTTGTTTCTCTTTCTAAGATATATCTCTTTTCCAAAGGGAATCAAGCGATTAATAATAATTAGAATAAAAATATAGAATTTATGAGATTAAGAAGGATCTTTTTCCTTGATGATAAACATTCGATTTTTACTGAAAAGCATCAAAATTAATATAGACTTTTTTCCTAAAATTTTAAATGTAAAATGAGGTTAATACGTTCAGATACAATTTTATCTACAAAACTTTAAAATCAGAAGATAACTTTTAGACTCAAGTTATGACTTTAAATAGCCCATACACAGCAATCAATTGTGCAGTGTAAACAGACCCATTTCACTTAAAAAGTGTCTGGTTAGACTAATTGTTTTGTAACAACATCAAATACATTTAAGTATTGCTTTAAATATGTCTTCATAGTTTTCTGATTATCACTTTATGAATAAGAAAAAGCAATATTTTAGGGCAGAATTTTCCTTCCCATTGCGTTGTTTTTCGTGAACGCGGCAAACAAGATTCCATTTGCGGAGAATATTAAATCAATCATAGAGCAGTGCAGGTAGTACTTTTTCAGTTCAATTTATGGGAGGGGGGGGGGGGTATCCTAGGTCATATTTTTATCCTTTTTCTTATGTATGTAAAATAATGCAGATTTATCACGTAAACCCGCAGATAATTTTAATTCTGGTCACCTTTGTATTTCTACCCTTTTAAATTTAATAAAAGCAAGATTTCGAAAATTGTTAAACATAGAAAAGCTAGTTTTATTTTTAATTGCACTTGCAGTTCAGTTCATTATACCCGGCCCCTCACCCCCCGCCTAGATTTTAAGCTACTGGGTTATAAACAATTTGGTTTAAAAAACATCAAATACAGATGATATTGCTTAAATGTCGTCTTCTTATACCACAGTATTATGGGTCTCACTGTATCCTGATGAATTTATGACACTCTTTACCAGGTCGTTGAAGAGCAACTTCAAGGAGAATAGTCACGTGCCCTGGACTGGATTGTTTATGAAGACTCAGGAGAAGGGAACCTGGCCTGTTCTATTCCTCTATTCAAAAGGAAAATTCTTTATTCATCACATTACTTCCAATTGATATAACTGATCAATAAAATATCGCCCTAAGCCGCCAAAGTTAATATTTAATTTGTTCTCCCTTAAAAGGACTGCAAGAGAAGCTGTGCAAAGATGGCAATGCCCGATTTACATCGCGCGGTACCCAAAACTGCTTTGTTTGATGAAGTTTGAATTTGGTATCCATATTTTTGTTTCTTTAAACTTTTCATTTTCGTTTTTGGTTTCTCACTTGAAATAACGTTTGAACCATCAAAACTAAAAAATACTTCTAAATTCCACTAATTTAGTTCCAAGCAATACTTCAAAGCCGTATTATCTCTAAAAATGAATAATTTTTTAATAGCTGATACTCTGATGCCGTGGAAGTATGTGGCAGGGTAATTAAAATCATAATAATTAACATTTTTTAACAATTATATTCTTTTTATAAGATTTCAATTAATCCATTTTGTTTTAGTGTTGTGCAGCGTTTGAAACCTCACAGAACAGTTTATGAAAACCGGTTTGAGAAGTCGGGCCACGTGGCGCATTTCAAGACTTATCCAGAAGAGTACACGGCAGCCATTAAAAAATTTCTTAACTCCATTTAAAACTATTTGTTTATTTATTTATTTATCTTAAATAATGTTGGAACTAAAGCTGTGATCAAAATTGTTAATGTTTAGAATATAATTATTTGTTAAATAGAATAGAACAGAGCTTTCAGATTAAAGATGGAGGATGTTAGAGTGACCTGGAACGATTTTGAATACAACCTAAAGGGTTCTTTTGTTAAACTGAGAGAGGATGAGGTTCTTTACGACATGAGTTTGGCTTGTGAGGGTCAGATTATACCTGCACATCAGGTTTATATTTAAAATTTTTCCAAGTTGAAAAAAAATCAAAACATTTCCCCTTGAAACTGAACAATATGCTATGCTATGATAAACACTGACACATAATTATAAAAGAAAAATAATCGGGTTCTCTCCTAGACAACGATTTTTGAATCCCCCCCCTCTATCAATTTTGTACATGACCACTTTTTTTCAGAAAAATTATTATTATTTATTTTTTAATATATTATGATTAGGCTAGGTTAAAATCGTTCTCTAGGAAACTACCAAATAATCAGTCCTACACTACGTTTTTCAAATGTTTCGATCACTATTTGTGCCAATTTTAGTTTTTTTTAAAGATGAAATGCCAGATGAAACTTGTAAAAGACCACTCTAGATTTTCTAATGTGTAAAAAGCTTTAAAAATAATTATTCACTTTTTGTGCCAATCTTGAAGTTTTGTTTTTCGATAAAACTTGTAACAGAACGCTCTAGATTTTCCAAATGCGTAAAATTCCTTAAAATAATGATATTTTTCTTTTCTGAAGGTAGTATTGGGTTGCTGCAGTCCCCAGCTTCTCCAGTTGTTAGTTGGAGCTCGGAGTGCTGGAGGAACCCAGTATCCTCTACTTGTTCTACGCGGTATATCAGCACAGGATATGCAGCTTATACTGGAATTCGTTTATACCGGACAAGGTGAACTCTATTTGTTTCATTATAATGTCACTGCTTAGGAACCCAGCGTAGCCTAGGTTACCCATAGTTACTCCCGCCGCTTAACCGCACTTGATCTTTAATTACGATTTTAGCAATTTTTCCCTAACTTTACTTAGAATCTCTAAACCAAGCTAAAAATTCCCGTGGTTCTCTCGAGTTCCCCAATTAAAGTTTGAGACAAATCTGTCCAGGGATTCATAAGTTATGATTGGACATACAAACTAACAAAGAATATTACTTGGTATAGATAGATTTCATTCAATCTTTTTTGTATGGAGTTGACAGTCTGTATTATTTCAAAGGTAGACTGCGAATGCTTCTTAACTTATTTAATTTTCCTTTAATTAAAGGGACTGCATGCTTAATTTAAAGTGGCCCTCCTTAGATAAAGTGCAATTTCCAATTTACAACAGTATGAATATGAGAAAAAATGTTATGGCAGTTGAAAACTTTTTTTTTTCGTTTGTAGTGTATCTACAACAGTGTCTTTGTAGATACAATGGAGAAACGTTATTAGAATTAAACACTTTTCAAGCTATAAAAACTATGTTATCTTCCACATTATTGATCAGATTAGAGTTTAAAGCTTATCGTTGTAAATCGAGAGTTCCCATATATATATTTAGGGTCACTTTTAATTTTGCCTACAGTCCCTTTAATATTTTAAATATTTATTTAGTTGTTGTTCCCCAGCATAGACTGAATACATTCCTGGCAGCAGCAGAAGACTTAGAAATCCTCGGGCTTTCCAAAAAATGCGCAAATATTCATATCGGAGATTTGGACGACTTTGACATGGGTATCCCTGAGCTACCCTCAAAGAGAAAGCAGGGACGTGCGAGAAAGAAAAAGTACTTAGATAATAGTGAGCCGGAGATTAAACAAGAGGAAAACGGTTTCGACGAAAATGGCGTTAAAATAAAACGCGAAAAACTTGACAAAATGTACGAATGTGATTCCTGCCAGAAAAAGTTTGCGCGCAAAGCACACTTACAGAGACACGAAAAGGCGCATTCCGACTTCCGGCCGTTTGTGTGCACGATTTGTGAGCAGAAGTTTAAACGGAAAGAACATTGTTACAAACATATCTCTACTATCCATGATATTGATGATCCTACCGGGCATACAGAGGAGATTAAACTCTCAGAGGTCCTGGACGCTATGGAGAATGTTAACTCCGATGACGAGGGTTTAAGTGAAACAGGGTTCGCCGAAGGATTAAATCTTTCAAAAGAAAATATTTAATTAATTATTTTGCAAGAAATACTTATCAATGATATTGTTTCCCCCCTCAATACTCAAAAACACATTATTTAAAACACAGTTAAGGACATCTTTTCGAACTGAAAATTTTTATCTGACGATTTTTCCAGAAATGAATTTTATCTTCAATTTTACATTTACAACTCTGTTCGAAGAGGATAGTTTTTAACAGACAAATCAGACATTTTGGGACATCCAACTTCCAAACTTAAATCTTAAAGTTTAAATAATTTGATTTTACCAGACATAGAATTTGTAAAACGTGCATATCGTTAAATTTGTTTTTGATGAGAGGTTTGTTATAAGCTTAGACCTTTGCGATAGGATAACACTAAATATTATTCTTAGTACCTGTACAGTAAAAATATTGTAAATAACAGTTCAACGCTCATGTTAATTAATATTTATAACATTGTTTAACACATTCTGTAAAACAGACCTTGTATTTTGACCAGCTCTAGCTAACAAATTTCCTCAAAACTTTTTTGTTACTAAAACAACGTATTTGCCTAAACTTATTAAATCAATGGACAAGTATGAGATTTAGGAAATTATACCTATTTATCGTTAAGCTATGAGAAGAAAAAAAAATTCCGTTGAAATTTTGCCGCTTAAATCCGGATCTGTTTGTACCACATTGTAATGTTTATGTAGCGTATTTAAAATTATGACTACGGAAAATAAAAAGAAAATTCTAAATTGACTTAACCATAGTTATTCTAGTATCTGCCCATGTTTTTTATTTTTATTTACTAGAAAGTTAATTGGTTTTGTTATGTAAAATTTGTATGATTTAGTATTGTTTATACTCTTGTGGTATTGCATGCACATTGCACATATCCAATTCTGAAGTATATTTATCATACAATGCACAATGCACATTGCATACAATGCACATTGCACATATCCAATTCTGAAGTATATTTATCATACAATGTTTGGGCTGAAAAGTATCTCAGATTGTAATATGTCAGCTTTCTAAATTTGATTTAATTATTTTAATGTAAAACTCTGTAAATATATATTTTTCTATGAATAGACATTTGATTTTTTGTATATGCTCACAAGGTAATGAGGCTAGGAAAGTTGATTGCTGTTGCAAGTTCTCTGCGTACATATTGAAACCAGTTCATTCTGGGGGGTATTTGTAAACGAGAATTTATATGTCAGTTTAACTTTAGTGTCCAAGGAGAATAAAAGCATTTTATTTTGATAATTTTGATAATTAACATAAAAATTTCCTAGGTCCAGAACATTTCATTGATTTTTTTTATGTAAAACATGGATCCCACGGCAGGCTGTGGCATCCGTCTTGTGTTTACTTTACCGCTCAGAGACAGTACACTACAAAAGATGCGTACACCTCTGAACTAGCCATCTTTACATTATAATTATTTGCCTGCTCTATACTTAATCAAAAAATTGGCTTAGGTGTACAACATCTGGTTGCAAATATATAGGGATTAGAACATTTGAGTTTGGTTCAAAAACTCAATTCCTTTGGTGTATTAATATAAGTTAAAAAAATTGTAAATATTAAATATTTTTTTCAGAAATAAAACATTTTAATATTTAATATTTTTAGAGATTCATTTTTACTCACTGCATGTTCTAACCTTCAAGCTAACACCTATAGATGTATTTATTTTCTTTGAGAAATATAGCATTTCTATACATTTTCCCACAATGACCTTGGAGCGTGGTCAAGCTATCGCTGATGCACCAGCGGTCACTGGATTAAAGCAGCAACTAGTGTTGTTTAATAATTAGTAAATACTTCTGGATAAAAAAAATATATTTTATACTGAATTATCTTATCACATTGCCTTGAAATTGAATCAATGTTAAAAAATCTTTTTTAAAATCACATTTATAATTTTCTCCAGAAGAAGAAGAATAGAAACCACTGTTAACCTATCCAAACTGAGAGGAGTGTTGAAGGTTACTAACATTATGCTTCCTTATCTCCGATATTCCTTTAATATTCCTCGTCACCTTCTGATAGTGAGTAATCTTGTCGCAGGACCTCGACAGTTCGTCGATAAAATCCTCGTCATGAGTAATAATGACCAGCTGGAAGTCCCGGAACTCTGACTGCCTATTTGCTATGTTGGACAGGGCCAGAGCCAAGCTTTCAATATTCTCCCTAAAAATACATAAGTAAAGGATTCCCGTCTTCACTCTCTCTTTATATACAGTAATGAGGGAGGAATACCACAAGCCTTACAGAATTGTCATTCAGTACCGAGCCACCCCTCTACAGTTTACTTTACTTTACTACTTTTTTATATTTTTTCCGTAAGAAACTTAAGTTTTAATCAAAGATTACAACAAACAAATCTGAAATGCTCTTCCCTCTTAAAACTAATTTATGTCTCTGTCTAAAAGTATGACTAAAATGTAGGGGATAGAATGGATAATTGGTCTTAGTTCATTGAAGCATTAATACCGACCTATCCAGATTAGTAGTTGGTTCATCTAGAGCTATAATACCGACCTATCCAGATTAGTAGTTGGTTCATCTAGAGCTATAATACCGACCTATCCAGATTAGTAGTTGGTTCATCTAGAGCTATAATACCACAGTTTTCAGCAAAAGTTTCAGCCAAAGCCAATCGTATAATCAAGCATGACAAAACCTAAAATAATAAAAATGTTTGCTTCTTTGGTAAAATTAAAGATGTGTCTTATGATAAAAACAAGAGTAGGATTATCATTATTCAGGGTGGTTTAAATATTGAGTACAGGGCAGGGTGTCCTAATAAACGTGAAAATTAAGGGACAACTTAAATGTCATCATTAATTTCCGATATTTGATAAGCAACAAAGACAGTACCTAAAAAGAATGACTAACCCCTTAATGGACATTTAGAGAATAGGTGAATTTAATATTTATTTTTTTTTTTTACTATAATACCGATATATTTGAGTTACTGAAAAAAAATGTTGCGTGGATTAAAGATTATATTACGACATTAAGACGGGTCTCTTATGCTAAATGAGACACTCTGTCGAAAAGAAGATGGAAGAAAGTGATATTTTGGAAAATTTAGGATTTAGAAGTTTTTACCTTCTGACCAGCAGAACATCTTCCTCGCATATCCATCTCCACCTCGTTCTTCACCATGACAACCCTGAACATGATTATCAGGTTCGCTCCGACATGTTACATGGTATTGGGTTATCTAACCCTGAAAACAGAACTTGATGCGAACATTTTTTAAGTAGAAAAGTAGAAAGTCTAGAACTTTCTATTAAGTAAAACTTTTTTTTAAGTTCGAGGAAGTTAACCTGTAATTATAACTCCTTCTCTTCTCAGCTCCTCCAGTCTGGATATCTCCGTCATCTGTCTTGATCTCAATATAATCAATATCATTTCCCCTGAACAATATAATGAATATCTCCTTCTCTCTTGTTTTCAATATAGTCAATATCATTTCCCCTGAACAATACAAGGAATATCTCCATCTGTCTTGATCTCAATATAGTCAATATCATTTCCCCGGCAAAATACAAGGAATATCTTCATCATCTGTCTTGATCTCAATATAATCAATATCATTTCTCCTTAACAATACATGGATATCTCCATCTGTCTTGATCTCAATATAATCAATATTATTGACAAAGTAATGTCTGGTACATTTCAAATGGCGCCATGGAATTTGTCCTACAAGGCTTCGAAAACTTAATTTTGTCCTACAAGGCTTCGGAAACTTAATTTTGTCCTACAAGGAGGGAGGAATATTTTTTCCGGATTATTCGTACATGCTTAAAACCAATCAAGTTGGGAATGCGTCAAATATTGGCAGAAAATTCCCAACTCGTCTTATTTCTGTATTGAGCAGAGTCAAGATGTAAGGAACACTGTTGAACTCGAAGAGAGGGGAACAAATGATTGGGGTTCAAAGAACCATATATACACCAAGGTTAACACAACCTCACGTGTTTACTGGAAGTGACTAGAGTTGAGACGAGGTAACTGTAAAGCTGCTGCTATAACAGGTGTCGAACCTGAGGACGGCTCGGGATCTACAGTCTACCCTTTCATCCGTCCGCTGCCTCTAACATGACCAAGGATAATATCTTAAAGCCGGAAAGTGCTACAGTACAGCAGGCTCTTGAATATGTAGCCTTGCCTCCCGGGGTTGTTCTAGGAGAGATGATGAACACGCTGAGCAGGAACGGACAATCCAAAGTCAGGGAATGCATGCATTCGAACACTCTAGCGCGGCGTGCATATATTTTATGGTGTGTAAGACAAATGATTTTTTCCCCGCTCTGTAGGACAAGTGATGTTTCTTCCGCTCTGTAGGACAAATAATATATAGAACAAATGATTTGTAGGACAAATGACATAACGCCATTAAAATTATTTAAAATTTAAATATTAAATGTATTCAGAATTTAATCAATGGTTTATCCCTTGCATTTTAGCGCAATCAGTCTCTTCTAAACACCAATAAAAACATTTATTGTCTTGGATCCCTTAATTTTTATTAACGAGTATTGATGCCTTGAAGTCAAGAAGTTTTGATTTATGAGTGTAAATATTTCACCTGTATGTTGCTCTCCACATCTCCCTTATAATACTATTCACAACCTAGCATTAAAAGAGTAAAATAAAATCAAGAATTATTAAATCTGAATTTTGAACAATGAATACTGACCCTCATCTTATCCTTGTGGAAGCTCATGATGGCGAAGTCTAGAGCAGTGTAATACTTGTTCAAATCCTTGATTGCCATCTCAGTTGTACTGTGCTCCACGGCAGATATGTAATACTTCCTGAAATCATATCAGGCAGGAACGTAAACCCAAAATGAATTTACTTAATCAGTTTGCAATGACCCAACTTTAAACATTGGATTATGAGAACTAATTAATCGATTTTGTTAATAACTGACTTTCTTTTTGTATAATTTTTTAGAATCTTAAATTCTGCGTTAACGAATATCTAGGCCAGGATGATGCTTAATTTAAGATTAAGATCAATTCTAGAATTAGGAACGGGATAAGAGTAATTACAATAACTTAACGACTTTTATTAAGGTTAAGGTTAAGGCTTAGGCTAAGGTTAAGGCAAAGGCTAAGGTTAAGGATCCGGATCAGGATAATAATTAAGATCTAGATCAGGTCCAGAATTATGATAAGGATCAGGAATAAGATCATAATCTTGATTGATTAGGTTTTGGTTTTATAATAAGTGTATTTAGGGTTACCTGGAAGCATCTTTCAGTTTCGGATGATTTAATTCTTTCTCCACCTCCTTCAAGACCTTCTTCATTTCAGCAATCTTCCCAGTATTGGAGCTGTACGCTGAATCCAGAGAATATTTATGTTTTAACAAACTTTTCCTTCTCTCTGCAATTGCAGCAAAATCTGTGTTTGCTAATCCCTCCTTGTACTTTCGGATTTCTTCCTCATGCATATCCTCCTCCTTCTTTAACTTCCTCAGTCTAATATTGTCGTTGAGGTTTCTTTTGATATTTTCTTGGTTTCCAACCTCCAAGTGGATTTTTGCCAATTCATCCTCATTTAAAGCTTTCTCTACTCTGCCTTGCTCCTGCTCCGCTTCTAGTTTTAGTCTTTCATCTTTCTTCTCTGCTATTTTCTCGTTAGTGTTGGTTTTCTTAAACTCGGAGATCGTTTTCTCTAGTTTGTTGAGATCAAGGATCTGGTTTTGTATGAATCTCTCTTCCCCCTGGAGAACTTGAAGTTCTCCGTCCTTCTCCTTCTGAAACTTGACTTTTTCCTTCTCGCAAGCCTCTAGACTCAACCTGAGGGGTTCTAACTCCTCCTTAGCCTGCTCTATCTCCTGCTGTATTTCAACTACGCGCTTCTCCATCTCCGTCTTCCTCTCTAGAGTGTGGGACCTTTGCTGCTGCTTCCCCTCTATCTCCAACTTCTTGTTGGTCAACTTGTTACAGCTGCCCTCAAGCTCGTTTATGAGCTTACTGTGACTATTGAATTCATCCTGGTCCTTGTTGCATTCCTTTCTTAATTGTTTGAGCTCGGAGCTAACCTGCTTCTCCTCCCTTCTCACCAGCTCTAATCCTCGCTCCGTGTTATAGTTTGGGCAGGACTGCTGGAGATCAGTTCTACTCTCGTTTAATACGTTAAGTTCTCTGGTTAGATTATCCAACAGCTGAACATCCTCTGCTATACTCTTCAGTTGTTCTCTCTCCTCTAGATCTCTAGTCCAAACCTCCTCCTCCATATCCTTCTTCTTCTGCAACTCTTTCACCTCCTCTTCCAGGGTTTTCACCTGGTTCTCCTTGTCCGTGATCTCCTGTCTTACTTGCTTCAGCGCATAATAGTCTGGGGATATCTTCTGCAGGTTTTCATATCTATCCTCCTCCTTCTTAACTTTCTTCTCCAGACTCTGCGCTTTCTTAGGAATCTCTGAAATTAAACTCTTGAGATCAGCTTTCAATTCTTCAGCCTCTATTTTCTCATGGAACTGCCTGTGGCAGGTGGGACAGGCGGGGTCGGACATCTTCTCCAGGTTGTCTAATAACTCCTTGTAGGTAAACTTACCAGCTTCCTTCACCTGTAAATCCTTCCTGAGCAACTCCAGACTATCCTTGGTCTTCAGCAACTCACTTTCTAGATCTTCGTCCCCGACCAGTGTTTCTCCAATCCTGGATAAATATTCCTTCTCTTTTCTAAGTTTCTTCCCTCTCTCCTGCTTCAGAGCAACCTTGGTCTCATTCTTCGAGGTAATCGAGTTTTCAATCTTCTGTCTCAATAAATCATTTTTACTCACAGCCTTCTCATTCTTCTCAACACAGTCCTGATACACCTCCTTTAACCTTTTAAACTCTGGGACAGTTTTAAACAGGTCTAGGAAAATACTGTTTCTTTTACTACCAATTCGTTTACGTTTCTCTTCTTTAGTTTTTATATCATTCTCCATATATTCCAGTTTTTGAACTGTAGACTGAATCTCTTCCAGAGATACCAATTCTTCTTTCAGAGATTCTTCTCTCTTCTCCAGAACCTGGATCTTACTCCGGGAGTCTTTTATCTTCCTCTGTAGGGATTCAAGATCTACTTTATCCCTCGCTCTTTCCAGTTCCTCATTCTTACCCTCCCAATCTTTTTTGATTTGGTTTAGAAGATCTCCTGCTCCCTCCAGCTCTGAAAGTTCACGTCGAATCTTGGCGATCTTTGCCTTAGTCTCCATAAGGTCGGTTAGTCCTCTTTTCTTCTTCTCCTCTAATGTTGCTCTCTGCTGTTTAATCTCATCCGTTCCATCATTCATCTTCTCCTCCTTTTCCTTCCTGTCCGCCTTGAACTTATTGATCTTGGAGAGGATTTTCTCCTCTTCTCGCCTCAGAGCATCCTCGAAATTTTCCGGTTTAATATTTATTCCAAACTTCTCCTCCGCTGCCGAGAGCAGAGCTAATCTCTCCTCCTCATCCTTCTCATTCTTACTTTTGTCAGAGAAAAGGCAACCCAGACTTGCAACAATTTTCTAAAAAACGATCCAATAAACCAAAAAGGTGAATAGTGCATAATGACCATTGACTAAGGGTAGGCCATAAGAGAATTTATTCTGGAATACACAATGAACTCGGTTTCGGTAGCTAAACACTGGTTTAGCAGTCTGTTTACAAACAATCTAATTAGACTAATGTCGAAACAATTAAAGTTTCGATATGAAAAGGCCCGACAAAGAGGGTAGTTAGAAGGGGCTCTTTTCTTTTTAACGCAGATCTATACATATATTTCCCTTAAGAAACCCGTTTTTATGTCCAGTTAGGTATTGCTTTGTAGGTAAAGATCTCAGCAGTCAGCACACGACCAAATTTGAGAGGGCAGTTAAAAAAAGGGGGGGGCTCTTTTCTTTTAAACGCAGATCTATACATATATTTCCCTTGTATGTCTGTTTGTTTGTCCGTGTATTCCATATCTTAAAATACCGGGTTCAATGTTTCGGTTCAAGTCCAGTTTCGGATGCGTTCGTTTACAAACAACCAATATATAATTATTCAGCCATCGCAAATGACAAGTTACTGAATATTCACCTGTATTTTATGATCAATGATCCGTTCGTTATGCTTGAGTGTCTCCAACCTCTCTTTGATCTGGTTCAACTTAATCTTATTCTCCTCCTCCGAACCTTCACATTTACTCAGCTTTCTCTTAATATCATCCTCAGACATGGAGGCAGGAAAAATCTCCGAAACCTAGAAAAAGATAAAATTTCTAAAACTTGTTCTCCCCGTAATTTTAACTTGTTTCTTGTTTGTTTCTTTATTAAGTTTACAATATATTGTCCCAGAGTTAACACAGGATGGTTGATTTATTATGTAAATTCATTCAATCAAATACTGCAAGGATATAAAAACCCTGCATTACTTTAAAACTTCTTGGATTCAAATTTTAAATGCCTTAGAAAAAAAAACTTTTTCACCCGGGGATCAAGAAATTGAAAATGCGTGAAATATTTCTCAATAAATTGAAATAATTTGAACTCCTGATTATTACCTTGAACTCAAGATCTGTTCTCTCTCTTCTTGAATATTTGAGTTTAGTTTCCGCTTCAGTGAGTTTACTGTGCAGATGGCTAAACCCCTTCTCCTCTTCAATTATCTTATCAAATAAATTATTTTCAATCTTATTCTCAAAATAATTTTTTACATACAACCAGCTAGAAATGTTCAATGTTTAGTTGCTATTCATTTTAAAATTAATTTAGCGTTTTTATGTCGAAAGCGTTCCAGATAATACTGGATTAACTCAAAGCAATAATGCAATTTTCTATTTTCTGTATGCGAACAGCAGAAGTTAACAAAAATACCTTATGTAGTTCTTCCTCTAAAGGTTTCAGTTCTTCCAATATTTGATCAACCTCATCTTCAGTTCTCTTTAATTCTTTCATCTTTTTTCGTTTATCCTCTTTTTTATCAAAACATGTCTCCTTATCTTCCCTAAAAAGAAGAAGAATAAAAAAATTTTAAAAATAAAGCTGTTGAAAATAAATCATTGACTAAAATAACAAGAACAAGAGCAATATAAAGAAAAACGAAACGGAATTGACAATGATTTGGAAATTTGACAATGGCAATGGCATTGATTAACAATTATGACAATGTGCAATGACAATAAAGATAGCATGAATATTTTAAATAACAAAAAAACGTTTTAATTATTGGCAGACCCATCTATCAGATAAACTTTAAACATAAACATTCCCCCCCCCCATTCAATATATTTGGTAAAATGTAAATGTACTTACTTGTAGAATCCCATGCAGGTCTTTTTATGCTTTGCATCTTCCCTCAGTTTTTTTATCACGTCCTTGATAGAATTCAAGCAGTTCTTGTACTTTGCAGAGTTAAAGATCTCATCAAACTTATCTAGGTAGAGTACAGAGTACAAAGTACACAGTAGAATGTTCATGGTAGAGAGTATATTGTAGAAAGGAAAAAGTTTTCTTTATGTTTTGATAATCTACAAAAATTAAAATACCTTTAACTTTCTTTCCTTCCTCTAGAGGCCAGTTAGAGTCCTCTTGGTGACAGAAGATAACGTAGTTTAGAATAGGTTTAGATACTCCTAGAGCCATCAGCATATCAGAATCCACATCAGCACACTACATAAAATAACAGAGTTAAGAAAAGGTTTAGATACTCCTAGAGTGGTCATAAGCAGCAATTTAAAACCTTCAAAGCAATGTGCTTAGGCGGCGAGTCGGGCATCAGTGGTGTTAGGTCAGGTCTCAAGGGCATTCTTATATAGGGATCGAATCACTTTTCTTAAACTCTACACTCCGTTTATTAGAATTCGCTATTCCAGCTTGGTCACCCTGGACAAGTCCGATATAGAAATATTAGAAAAAGTTCAGAGAAGAGCAGTAAATCTTATTGATGATCTACAAGGTGTAGGAGTTGGGTATATTGTCCCTTGAGAAACGTAGAAAAATATTTTACATTATCCAAACCTATAAGATATTGTCAGGAATCGACCAGGTAGACAACAATATATGGTTCAGAACAGAAGGAACAGAGATTGACAAGTATAACAGCTTATTGCAAAAATCTGATTCCAAGCAGATCTAAGACTGAGATGAGGCATAAATTTTTCTCCAACAGAGTTGTAAACACATGGAATAGACTCCGAACACAAGTTAGGACACTGAACTCTTTTAAAAAACTACTCGATATGACAGACATTTATGCTTGCGCCAGGAGGAGTGAGTTAAACCCTACAGCGTGACCTCTACAAGATGACCGGATCACAACTCCAGATGATACTACAGAAATTCCCCTCATGTTTCTACCTGGAGCTCTGGGAATAACTCATCAAGTAAGCAAGTAAGTAATAAACTTTAAGCAACTCCAAGAAAATTGTCCGTCTACAAGTGGTTTTTGGGAGGCTTTGATAAGGCAAATAAGATGATAAACAAAATATTAGAAAATTATTTCTTATCTCCCTAAATCGAAAAACTTGAAGGAAAGAGAAGATGACTCCACGACAAAAGGTGCAATAAGCGTTTCACGTCAAGTCGAACAAAACGGTATTATAAGATCCGCGCGTTGGATTCGCAACATGTTGGATTCCTGGATTCTAATGAAATGGATCCTAAACACTGCAAAGACACTTGAGAAATGTGCGCTGAGTGCTCTTTGTCTAGTCGTTCACTTAACAATAATACTAAACCAACCTTACTGCTGATACTTGTGGATTCTTTTGGTCCAAGCTTTGTTGTTATTGTGGTGTCCATCGTCTTCATTTGTATCTTTTTTATCTGTTGCGTAGCTTCAAGCGATCTAAATATTCGAATTCACGAAATCCTCAAAATAATAATTTTTCCTGATTTGTTTTTAATGAACTGACCTCGATATTATCTTATCCTGCTTCCCAATAGATTTAAACAGAAGCTTGACTTGAGCTGGAAAAAAAGTATTTTATATGAATAAAAAAACAATTATTAGAAGAAAAAGGTTCAAACAGACTGTCGACCCAAGAGGTGCATTAAATGCATGCCCGATTCACAACGGCACTTTTTAAACCTTTATCCGAGCAATAATAAGGAAGATATCAATATTTTCCACATAAAAAATGTTAGATTCTGAAAACTTACTTTATTTAAAGAGAAAACATTTGAAAATTATCAATATTCAGAGAGGAAAAAGGATATCTTTATAATTTTACAAACTAAGGTTTAAATGGTGCCGTTGTGAATCGTGAAAACCCACGAACATTATTAATGAAGGGTCACTTGAAAAATGTCGACGATCCCTGTTTTTAAATGTGTTTATCTACCTCTTACTGTGGACTCTCTCGCCATTTTAGGATCGTGGACAAAACTGACTCCTCTGGTAGATCCAGGGGGAGCATCCCCAGTAGTAACATACTTCAAGCATTCTATTATTGTCGTCTTCCCGCAACCATTCTAGTATATAACATAGATTCTAGTATATAACATAAATTCTAGTATATAACATAGATTATAGTCGTCTTCCCACAACCATTCTAGTATATAACATAGATTATAGTCATCTAGTCACAACCATTCTAGTATATAACATAGATTATAGTCATCTAGTCAAAACCATTTTAGTATATAACATAGATTATAGTCGTCTTCCCGCAACCATTCTAGTATATAACATAGATTATAGTCATCTTCCCACAACCATTCTGGTATATAACATAGATTATAGTCGTCATCCCACAACCATTCTAGTATATAATATAGATTATAGCAGTCATTCCACAACCATTCTGGTATATAACATAGATTATAGTCGTCATCCCACAACCATTCTTGTATATAACATAGATTATAGTCGTCATCCCACAACCATTCTAGTATATAACATAGATTATAGTCGTCATCCCACAACCATTCTAGTATATAACATAGATTATAGTCGTCTTTCCACAGCCATTCTAGTATATAATATAGATTATAGTCGTCATCCCACAACTATTCTAGTATATAACATAGATTATAGTCGTCATCCCGCAACCATTTTAGTATATAACATAGATTATAGTCGTCTTTCCACAACCATTCCAGTAGAACAAAGATTAAAGTCGTCTTATTCCAACAATATTTTAGCCCGAAAAGTACCCATAAAAGTACTAAGATAATTGTACGAGAACTGAAATTTTCTGCCCTAGGAGTAGAGAAAGAGGACTCTCCTCTTACCTCTCCTAGGATAAGTGTAAGAGGACTAGTTTACCCTGTCCTAGTGTAAGAATAAGGACTAAGATAAGCTGTCCTAGAATAAGAGTAAAAGGACTATAATTACCAGTCCTAGAATAAGAGTAAGAGGACTAGGGTTACCTGTCCTAGAATTAGAGAAAGAGGATTAGGATTACCTGTCCTAGAATAAGAGTAAGAGGACTAGGATTACCTGCCTTAGAATAAGAGTAAGAGGACTAGGATTACCTCTCCTAAAATAAGAGCAAGAGGACTAGGATTACCTGTTCTAGAATAAGAGTAAGAGGACTAAGATTACCAGTCCTAAAATAAGAGTAAGAGGACTAGAATTACCTGTCCTAGAATAAAAGTAAGAGGACTAGGATTACCTGTACTAGAATAAGAGTAAGAGGACTAGGATTACCTGTCCTAGAATAAGAGTAAGAGGACTAGGATTGCCTGTCCTAGAATAAGAGTAAGAGGACTAGGATTACCTGTCCTAGAATAAGAGTAAGAGGACTAGGATTACCTGTCCTAGAATAAGAGTAAGAGGACTAAAGAACTCTACGGTTTGACGGTCCTCTGACCGAGGACCAAAACTCCGGATCCCTTGAAGCTGAAGTTTCTCTATACGAGCCATTTTAGATCATTATCTGAAATTTCAACAAAATAATAATTTTACTAAAAGTTAATCGTTTCAGATACTTTTTTGAACTATAATCACAAACTATTACATACACCATAAATAGATAGAATATTCTTAATCGAATTCAGGATTAAGTTTGTTTTGTAAATTTTGTTTCTGATATTTTTTTTATTTACAAAAAAAATGTTAATGTGAGTTGATAATTTTGATATATTTTATTGATTCTTGTTAATTTATACTTTATTTTATTTAACTATAATTCTATATTAATTAACAATAAAGATCACTTAAAAGTTGTTGCTGTTTGCTGTTTATTGACTTTGATTTGATCAATATTAACTTTGATTTAAACGAATAATTTTGTTTATAATGTCACAGGAGCATTTATTACACAGAACAAAATCCGTGATGACAATATTGGGTTTACTCCGAGTCTTGTTTAACCAGGAGCGCACGGTTCGGTTGCATCTCCTGGTACAGGAGTGCTCCAGGTCGGAGAAACAATGGAAGATAATCGTACTCAGCTGTGGAGTAAATACTCCTTGAGAGATAAATAACAGGCCCTTGGGTCGCTCATCTAAACCCTGGTAAACAAAGGAAAATATTGAAGCAAATTTATATTATATGTTTTTTATCAAATATAATTTAGAATAGTACTGCTCAAACATTTACTTTATTAAGAAATTATACACTTGAGAAAAATATTATTTTTTGTTGTTGTTCAGGGGCTGTAAAGTGTAGATCTAATTTTAAGTGACCCTCCAATGGAAGAATGGCATGTCCGATTCACACTGGTTTATTAAAACCTTTGTCTGAGCATAGATGATGGAGTTATCCCTCTTTTAATATCTTAAAATTGTTTATTTTCGATTGCGGTTCTTAAGCAAAATAATTGCAGATTATGCAGAAGGAGAGAAAACAGAAAAATTATAATAATTTGAATCTTTTTTAAGTAGAAAAATTACGAAATCTTCCTTCTTATTGACCCAGATGAACAGAGAAAACGAACTGTCAAATCAAATAAAATCAGGCTTTTAGGGAGGTCCTACTTTCCACGATTCAATCTCGAGATGACTTTACTAAATCGAACACTCGAAATTACGTCTACAGTTCCTTTCAAAGGAACATTCACGAATTCACGCATTCGAAATTATCGATAAAACAGCCTTAAAATTCTAAAACCTGCCTTAGTCAGAAATCTTTTAAGTTTAGCTGAACTGGTTGTATTAGCCCAGGGGTTCGGAGCTAGATACCTAGGCCAGAACAATCTTGATATAGGTCTAGGATGAAAACAGATCACCTGAAGGAGTCAAAATTAAAACAAATGATGAACGTTGTATATACAATTATACATTAATTATTTGTAAAAATGATAGATAGCTAAATAGACAAAGACATGAAAAAAACCAATAATTGATAAATGCACAGAGATAAAATTATATAAATAAAAAGACAAATATTTATAAAAAATAATAAAAACTAAATAAAACAAAAAACTATTTTTTTTATTTTGAAAGAAAAAAATCGAACATTTTTTGCCTTTCCTACAAAAATTCAGCCAATTTTATCCAGCCGTTAAATAATGACAATGACAATGACAATGACAATGACAATGACAATGACAATGACAATGACAATGACAACAATGACAATGACAATGACAATGACAATGACAATGACAATGACAATGACAATGACAATGACAACGACCAATGACAATGACAGTATGACAATGACAATGACAATGACAATGACAATGAGAATGTATGTATGTAATTATATCTTTGTGTGTGAATAGATTTTTATAATAATCCTTCGTAAATACTGAATAACCCTCTAGATTTATTACCTGGAACCTAAACGAGTTCATAAAATCTAATGAAACCTCTCCTGGATCTTGAGGACAGGGACAAATACTCTCTCCAAACTCCTTAACCAGAAATTCATTCAAATAAAAACTAATTGATGAATTTGAAATAATTTTTGTTTGAAAATATAAAGATGTTGAAATCAAGGATATCTATTCTAACCTGTTTAACATGGTTCTCTAGCTCCATATTATTCTCCGGAGTAAAGTTATAAAGATGTTGAAAATCAAGGATAACTATTTCACCAGGATTCTCCTATGATACAAGTTTGATTAAAAAAATTAATAATAGAAGTAATATTGATAAAAAATCTTGGAATCAAAATCAAATCAAATCAAATCAGACTCTCAGAGTGTCCTCCTTAAGAGGTCTAAACTTAGTAAAAATAGTTAAAACGCTAGATAAGAGTAGAAATAAACGCATATATTGATGAACAGACATACATGATAAATGTAACAAATAAAAAAATTATTTGTTAAATGTATGTATTAAAAACTCAATTGCCTCAGTTTCAATATTTTGTCCAGACAATTCAAAATCAGTGAACTTGAGTAGTAATATCAAAATTATCAACATTTAGTGTCATCCAACATTGTAAAATTTGAGATAAAAACTTTTAAAATTTTCTGTGTACAAAACATCAAATTCAGGGAAAATCGAATTTTTACTGTAACATTATCTTTAACTTATGTTGTTGAAAAATAAAAAAATTATCTTCATAACATAAAATTTAAACTAAAATTACTAGTTTTCATATCAAAACCCCTCGTCTCGCTCACTACGTTTCACTCGGTGCTTCTGATTTTTTTGTTCCTATTTAGAGATTTTTGTGAACCCCTGAATCTGGCCCCCCCCTGGCTAAACTCCTGTGTACGCCCCTGAATTTTCCTCCTCAATATGCAATATACGTCCTTAAATGGTCCTTAATTTGCCTCCTCAATAAAAATCTTCAATGTGCGTCCTCAATATACGTCCTCTATGTGCTTTCCTGAAAGTGCGTCCGAAAAAGCGTCCTAATCTTTCTCTTTTTTAGAACTTGATTGCCAGCAAATACGAGGGACACCTAGAAGTGCCTAATTCTAATATGATCCCTAACATGGGAACCCAGCTTTGTATGGAAACAAAAAATTTGTTATAAAAGTCAACCCATTTAATTCCCGAGGTTCTACCGAGTTCCCCAATCATAATTTGAGGCAAATCAAGGTCAAGGGGTTCCCGAGTTATAATCATACATACAAACAGACAGACAAACAAACAACTAGAGGTTACCTGTTACCTGAAGAAATAGTTTAATTTTACTAAGTATATTTTGTATAGGTTCTCCGAACAGACAATGGATTATAACGAACTCATCATTGACAGCAACTAACCTTAATTATTATCAAACTTAGCTTTTACATGATATTTTCTCCAAGTTTTGCTTTAAAGGGAGGGTTCACAAACTCCTTTAAACAATTACATACGTGCACAATTCACAATAAAAAATCAATATTATTATCATTACATTTATTTCTAAAGTATTCTGCATGAACTCAGTATTTTTTATTTACCTTATGTCAAAATATCTGATACCGTTCTCTAGCTGATAAACTACATCCTTGTGCTGAGTAAAACTCCATCTTAGAATTAGAAAAATTTAAATTTAATCAAAATTATCATATTTTTTTTCATTTTCATTGATTACATGAAGCAACGAGTTAAAAACCATAACTTTGCATCATACTTGATGGAAGTTATTTATTTTAATTTATATATAGATTTAATCAATTAATAAGTAAAACTGATTCCTAACAGTTACTGACGGCTTGGATTTCATCCCATATAATTCAAAGTTATAATTTACAAGGGGTTTGAATGGAGTGCGTTCTGAGTGCTTTTGTCAAGTAATAGACTTCTAAATGGGCACTGTTGGACATGTCATTTACACAGACTGATCCAAAGTGCTGCAAGGCTAGCACAAGGAAGTAAGAAATAGTTAAGTAGGAGAATATGAGAGAGAGACTTTCTAACATAGCCAGAGAACCCAGAGTTTACATACAGGGTGTCCCACATCATATTAGACCGAGAACGGGTCTAAATTACGATTTTCGGGACTAATTAGAAAATTTATTAAGAATGAATCATTCTGAAAAATAACATAAGGCTTATATAAGAATTTTCTTGCGGAGAATGATAAGTTTTTCGAGTATTAAGGGTTTATTTCGGTGTTAAAGATTGGAAATAATCTAATATGATATGTGACGCTCTGTAGCATGAAAGGAAAGGATAGACGTAAGAGGGAAAAAATGGGAAACAATATTGTTTGAAAAAATGTCTAACGGAGAAAAAGGGCAGAAGGACACAACTCAATTGTATCTGAAGTTAAAATTTTCTTTAAGCCATTAGTAACTTCACGCAAATGCGTTTAACAAAAATCATTATCGTTTATCCAAACTCAATAGTTAAGGAAAAATAGTATGCAAGATCAGCCCGCGTAAAGCAAGTGTTCACTATGGTTTATAGGGTAACCCATAGTCAAGTAATTAAGACAACGAAGCAACGTAAAAAGTTGGAATACACGTCTTTTAATCAATCTTGAGTAATACAAATAATAGAAAGACTTNAATAATAGAAACACTTGTAAGAAGTATCAAAAATTGTTCAGGTGTATTTTAAAAGAAACCTATTTTTACATTTCTTTCTCAAAGTGTCTTAAAATGGATGGAATTTTAAAAATCATTGTTTACCTATAAAGGATATGTTGCGCTATCCGAGGGAAATCCTTTGCAAGTTTTCTAATTAACTCTGGTTGATCAGGACCTAGTAGAGAAGAGAATAATCAATACAACGCTAGACCCAGATACAGAAAACAGTTTGCATCTACTTCTCAATTTATGCTTTACCTACCTATTACACAACCTGGATCCATCCCTACCTGTACACAACCGAGAGGACTTGAAGGAATCCATCCCTACCTGTACACAACCAGGAGGATGTGATGGAATCCATCCCTACCTGAAATACAAGCTGGAACCAGAGAGGATGTGAAGGAATCATAACTTCCTGGTGCACAACCTGGAACTGGAGAGGACTTAAAGGAATCCATCCCTACCTGGAATACAACCTGGAACTAGAGAGGACGTGAAGGATCCATCCCTACCTGGAATACAACCTTGAACTAAAGAGGACTTTAAGGAATCCATCCCTACCTGGACTGGAATACAACCTAGAACTAGATAGGGCGTGAAGGATCCATCCCTACCTGGAATACAACCTTGAACTAGAGAGGATGTGAAGGAATCCATCCCTACCTGGAATACAACCTGGAACTAGAGAGGATGTGAAGGAATCCATCCCTACCTGGAATACAACCTGGAACTAGAGAGGACGTGAAGGATCCATCCCTACCTGGAATACAACCTGGAACTGGAGAGGACGTGAAGGAATCCATCCCTACCTGGAATACAACCAGGAACTAGAGAGGACGTGAAGGAATCCATCCCTACCTGGAATACAACCTGGAACTAGAGAGGAAGTGAAGGAATCATGACTACCGGGGATACAGAGGGAACTAGAGAGGATTTAGATCAAAACGTTTTCAAGCCTACTAATTCGTTAAAATTTTGGAGAAAAAAAATCTTTTTACTTAAGCAGAATGTAATCCGACGTTTTCATTTCCTGAGAGGAGCCTTCCTTGCTTTCTCCGGAAGTCTGGTCATCCAGTCTTGCCTAGGAACAGGAGCATCCGATTCTCTTCTTCGAAACCCGAACATCATGATTGATAGTGCTCAAACATTTTCCTTCTGAAATAAAAAATTTACGAATGTTTAAGAAAGAATTGTTGATTTATCCTTGTTCCCTTGTAATAACCAAACCTTGCCAACTTCTTACTGAAGGACAACTTCTTCTCCTCCTCCTCCTCCTCCTGACTCACGCTCCCGAGCTTCTTCTCTAGGATGATCAAAAGCAGATCTCTACAGCACTGAGTGAGATCAGGGTAGGGTACTAATAGGGCACTCTGTTTAGAGAGAATCCATTTCAGTTTCTGTATCTCCTCTTGAGCTTTTAACGAGTCAGACCTTCCTTGGAGAAACCGGACATAGAAGGATGTTGTGGGTTTAGGAGGAGGAGGAAGGTTGTCTAAACCTTGAGGAGGGAGAGCTATCTCAGCAGATATACCATCACTCTTCCAGTTCCCGTCTCCTCCTAGACTAACAGTTTGTGTTCCGGTCAGACTAGGAGTTAAATCTATTACTTCTCCTGATTCCGAGGTTCCATTAGCGTCTCCGTTCTCCAGAGGTAAAGACTCCTTCTCTGGGTCGAAGGTTGACAGAGCCTCCTCGGCCTCGGAGATTTCTGCTATGATTTTCTGTGAGAAGATGACGTCCTCCTGCATGAAAGCGTCTGCTACGTCCATCATCACCTGCTCGTTCCACACTGTTTCCTAGATAAGAAGAATTTACAACAAGTATTCTTGGTTTTAAAACTGGTTTTTTATTATTACTTTGACAAAAAAATACCTTCGACTTCAGTACGGACAGTGCCTCACTGCACTGAATACTCCTAACACAATCAAAATCCATTTATTAATATTTTTACAAATCTTGGCGTAAATATCAAATCAGAAATACATTATAAAAAATTTGGAGGAAAAAAAACCCCGCTTTATGATTTAGGAAAACTATAAATCTCATCTTTAAAAGTAACAATTAAATATTTTGAAAAAAATAATAAAGAATAGGATTGCTTCCTTAGTTCTGGCCAGTTACACTGCCAGTCTAGAGATGTAGAGAGGAGAACTTTTCCAACCTCCTGGGGTTGGGTTCCGTCCGGGAGCAAGAATTTACTCACTCTCTCGAGTTCTCCAGGATATGAGTGAAGCTCTGCTAATCCTTGTGAGATGAGTTTAAGACAGAGCTGAGGATCCGACCTGGAGATAAATGCCTGAGAGATAAAACCTGCAACAGGCAGGATTCTAACTTTGAACTTGTCACTGGTAGTTGTTGTTTTAATAAACTGGTTCAGAACCGGGATCTGGGATTTATCACAGGTTACGTTCTTCTCACTACATGTTGTCTCAATCAGAGCAAAGAGATGCTCGGACACGGATTTGTCTGATTTTAACAATAGATGGATGTGAGAGAATACAAGTATGAGTATCGAACCCCAAGCTAGGGACGGGATGAGAGCGGAGACACTAAACCAGAGATCTGTATCCAGGGAGAACAAACACTCTGTATAGAGTTGACGAGCGTAGATCTCCGACTTTGAAGTATCCTCTGAGAGTACAATAGCAGCCTTTAAACTACTTTTCGTGGATATTTTACCGAGAGTATCCGCCGCTTTATCATTTCTACCCGCCGCTACCCAGCATTTAGAGGCTAGCTGTAGGTTGCCACTTTGTGACGCCTGCTTAGCCCATCCAACCATCAGCTCTTGGATCAATGGGTCAGACTCCGGTAGCCGAGTTATTGCTATAGCTAGAGCTGCCTGAAATGCGTTGTTTCTCCGGAGAACATCAATGGCATCGTAAACCATGTGCGCTGAGAGAAAGAATTCACTGGATTTCATATAATTGTCTTCTTTACTTAACTGCAGAGCGTATGCCGCGGCAGTTTGTCTCCAGACTACCTGACTCAACCCTGCGGATAGAGCAACTAGTCCTTCCGTCAAACTTCCTTCAGATTCAGCAAGCTTTAGAGTCTCATCTAGATTTCCCATCCAGAGAGAATGTGAGCATTTGGTTGGAAAATCTTCAACGTCCTTACTCTCTGTTTCCAGTAGTCTAGAAACTCCGTCTTTTCCGTAGAAAAATCCTAGATAGGCTTGTTCTTCTGCTCCTGGTAGGACAGGAACAGTTTCGTCTAGATTCAAGGATTGGAGCCTATCAGAGAGGGATTGAGAAGGGTCTTCATTATTTCGAAATTTTGATATTTTTAAACAATCCTCTCCAACCTTGAATGAGTTTGCTCCCTCTGTTCTGGAGGAAACTGGGAAGAAAGATTTCTTTGTTATTCTTTTAGTTCTCTTGGCCGTCTTAGTGTTGAAGAATGTAGGTTCAGGTTCCCTTTGAGGTTCATGGTGCTCCGGGTCAATTCTTTTCTCCTGACTCTTTCTGTGTTTCTCCAGGAGCTCTTCAAAACTGAGTTCCTTCTTTTCCTCGATTTCTACCTCCGGAAGCTCAATTTCTTGAACCTTCCCCTTCTTCTTTTTCCGCAAGACTGGTTTCTGAGCTGTTTGTTTCTCCGGGATCCAGAATACCAAGGAACAATCCTCTCCTCCGGATATAACCAGATCAGGGTTGGTTGGATGCCACATACAACACATTAATCGCTTGGAATGGCCCTAAAAAAATTTATTAAATTGTAAGATAAATTTAAATTATTAAAACCATCTCACCTGAAAATTAAAGGTTGGAAGAAGAGTTTCCACATCCCAAACTTGTGCAGAACAATCATAGGACACAGAGACAAGTTTTCCGTCCTTGTGTGGGCTCCAAGCTAACTCTATTACCCGGAGACAGTGTCCAACCAGGACTGCAGTCGGAGTTACGAATATAAGAGGTTCTTCTCCAGGTTCTGCACTGAGTGCTCCTGCCAGTATAGAACCAAGATCCCAGAGATGAATATCATTCTCATTAGATGCAGTAGCAAGCCACCCTTTGTATTTAGCCTCCTCACCTCCACTCAGAAAGTCGGGACTAAACTCTAAACTCTGGATCAATTTCTTGTGACTTTTTAAAGACATGAAAAGTTTGAATCCTGGAATATGATAAAACTGAACCGACCCATCGTCTAGTCCTAGAACTAAAACGTTTTTATCATCTATTGTTTTCCACAGAGCTTGGGATACGTTGGGTTTATTCCCCGTGATAAAGTCAGGAAGGGAAAATATGTCGAAAAATTTCTCCGTCTTAGTATTGTGTTGAACTAGTTTCCCATCTCCTACTGTGTACAGAGCAAGATCGGAATCATCTACAACACGAAAATAATTAAAATAACGCAATTTTAGAATAAAATGTTTGATTGATGGATTAAAAATAATTACCTGCAATCCCAGGTCCCCAGGTTACACTATACACCCCTCCTCTATGTTGGAAGTTGCTGAAGGATATCTGGTTCCTGGAACCCAGAGCATCAACCCATCCAACCCGACCTTCATCTGTACCCAGAGCTAGTAATCCCTCCCGTACTGGATGCCAGGCTAGACTCATCACTTTTGACTGGTTGAGGCGAAGGTGCCGAAGATCGAATAGCTTCTGAGATCCCGTCTTCCAAACCCTGATCAATCCGTCGCCCGATCCTATAGCAAGTATACTCGGATCTATAGGATTCGACGCCAAGCAATACGCGAAACCATTCAGGGTTGGCAGGGAATAGAGAACACGCTTGGAGTTAATCTGAAGAACTGCAACTATTCGGTCATGTCCTACACTATACACCAGGTTTCCTGATACACAGATACTAAACAGACTCTTGTTATGCTCCCTGTGCAGTATTTCAAACTTGAATACGTCCTTCTTCTCCGGGGTATTGAGATCCCACAGCATAAGTTCTCCGCTCTCTCCACTTGATAGAATTCTGTTCTCATCCAACCAGTGGCAGGTTAGGAAACTACTGGACTGTCCCTGCTGATAACCTCGCTTAAATCCTGCAAACAGAATTATAAATTCTTCATTCCGTAAAGAAAACATTTAATTTTATTTAAGATGCTCTGAAAACTGACCTCGAGGAAACCGACCTAAAAGGTATCCGATCTAATTATCGAGTAACTTCCTTTTACCCCATCTAACTTCGTCTACTCCCGTCCCACTCCACCTACCAGCTTAACCCAATCTAGCCTTTATTCAAGATCTAACACAATTTTGAGTCAGAAAAATCTTAGATCAGTTTTCTCAAGGTCAGTCGTTAATTTCTTCATTACCTTGAGGAAGTTTAAGTTGATGTGTAGATTTCCCTTGGGCGTGGGACCAAATTCTCAGGGTTTTATCCCTACTGGAGCTAACTAGTCTCCAATCCGTCCCGTAAACAGGACACCAGCTTACTCCGTAGCAATCCTCATCGTGCCCTCTCATCTTATGAATTATTCTGAACAAATAATTTTTCGAAAAAGTCATTTGGATTTCTTATTGAAGTCAAATGATTTCAATCAGAAATCAAAGAAAAAAAATTTACAATACAAAAAGTTCTTTTTGAAAAGTACGTCTTCAGAGTGTTGCTGTTTGAATATTATGTCATGATATCCTACCTGCCATTTCCTGCCAGACTAGCGATAATGACGAGACCAAGTTTGCATCCAAACCCAACAATATCCGGGTCCTTCAAAGAGTAAAGGTAAAAAATCCGTTATAGACTTCATTTACAATTATTACAAGTTTCCGCATATTTAGGGGAGTTTTCAATCAAAGGAAAAAATAATTCATAAGAATCTACATATCTTATGATGCTGAAGATATTACGAATAAATGGCAGAACAAGTGTAAGTTTACCGCATTTATTAATTTATAAAGACTTGTAGATATAATCCGAATCCTTTGTTTACTAATTAGTACCTTCTACCCAATTATCTAAACAATCCCTTTTCTCTACCTCGGGATGAAGAGCAAGACTGTAAACACAATATCTCCCCAATCCCAGTTTTCTGGTTCTATTACTTGTTAGATCCCAACAGACAATACAACCTAAACAGAAAACTGTACTGCACTGAACTCGAATGCACTGCATTATAATGTAGGGTACTGATGTACTGTACACTAGAGTACACCAGTACCCTACATTATTGAGNCCCCCCCCTCATATATTATAAATTTTAAAAATATGCAGAAGAAAGAGATATTTGACAGAATCTAAACCTGTTTCATCAGCTGAAACCACGAGGCTAGGATCAGGTTTACTCCAGTCTAAACCAAACACCTGAACAAGAACGGATTGTTGCTCAAGGTCTGAACAGGACACTGCTACGATGTTCAAAAAAATGTTAAACGAATTACCTTTGCTCGGTTTTCTGAATGTAAAGTATGTTTTCCAACCAAGGAACAAGACTCCTTACTCCATCTAGAAACAAAATAACAAGTTTCTCACTGGAGACGAAGTATCTTGGTTTGGCAAGGAGGCTATTTGATTGTTAATTAAAAAAATTATTTTGTTAAAATATCTCGACCCAAAGAATTTGTATGATCGTAAAACGACTGAAGAGGTACCTTCAAGTGACCCTCCGTTAATAAAGTGGAATATCCGATTCATAACGGTACCCTTTAAACCTTTCTTCATTAACAATGAATAAGATAAACCAGTTTTTCTGTGTAACAAATGTTACGATAACTTGCGGATTTTTAGCAGCCAAGACGATGGAAGATAAGTGTCAGAATTTAACACTTAACTTTAAAGGGTACACTGGACATTGAACAATGAACATGCCACTCAATGAATGAAATTTCAATTGAAATTGCATATTATGTCCCTTTGAAGAACTGATTCTTTCATTAAAAGACAACCCATCGTTCGATAAATTTAATAAAATATTCTTAGTACTTCGTCAACTTAATATTAAATATCATTCAGGCTTAATTTGTACTCAGATAGCTTTACAAACCTCCAGATTCTGACACTTCCATCATCAGCAGCAGATGCCAGGTTCTGCTGAGCAGGTCCTCCAGTAGGATCAGGACACCAGGATACACTACACACCTAGAGTATACTAGGATACACTACACACCTAGAGTATACTAGGATACACAACACACCTAGAGTATACTAGGATACACTACACACCTAGAGTATACCAGGATACACTACACACCTAAAGTATACTAGGTACACTACACACCTAGAGTATACCAGGATACACTACACACCTAGAGTATACCAGGATACACTACACACCTAGAGTATACTAGGATACACTACACACCTAAAGTATACTAGGATACACTGAACACCTACAGTTTTTTTTGTTTTGAAGAGTTTTAACATGACCTAGAAATGGTAACGCTCTCTAATAAAATGTGAATAACGACGCAACTTAAATTAAAATAATACAGAAAAATACCTTAGTTTTATCTTCATGTGCATCATTAATTATAAATGATTTTGGAGGATTTAATCCTGTACTTTCCTCTCTCCAACTCTCATTAGAGCTCACAGGAATTTCAGGTACTTCTGAAAACAAAATATTAGTAGATGTATGTTGGAACAGTTAAAAATAAATTTATGATTCATCAACATTATGTTTGACAGACCTAGAATAACAATCTGGTTTTGAGAAGAGTACGCCACGAAACCCAGCGGAGAACTGCTCAAGGTTCCGGAGCTGAACCAGTTCGGAGAAGGAGGAAGAGAAAACTCATCCATTTTTCTGAAATAATAACATTAAGCGGAGTTACGTAAACTTAAATTTTTTCCATAGCATTGAAGACTACATAAAGGTTTCCCAGTTTTTGAACAAGAATATTTCTTTAAATTTGAACACATGCAGCAGTAAACCTTAGCAGGGGGAGATACTTCCGCCCTACTCTCCATTGGAAACTCTGCACCCGGAGGAAAGTTGAGAAATGACCCGAACTGGTTCTGAACATAAGATATCTTTGGTAATTCATCCCTTTGGGATTTAAATGATTTTAAAAGTTTTGTAGTTTTAGAATCCTTCTTTTTAAGAAGAGTGTCCATAGTTTTCTTCTTTATCTTCTCCTTCTTCTCAGTCTCAAGCTCTCTTCTCTTCTTCGCTTTAATCGCCTTCTCCTCAGTGTCTTCTTCCTTGACATCAGTTTTCTTTCTGCTTCCTGAAATTATATTATAATAACTACATTTTACAGTGTCCTGTCCTGTCCTGTCCTGCCCTGCCCTGCCCTGCCCTGTTTGCTTGTAACCTACCAAAGTCTAAAGCTTGATAAAGATCTTCGACTTCTAATCCATCATTCATTAAAGATCTCTGGCGAGCTGTCAAGGATTTAGGATCTCTTACACTCCTAAACAAAACATCTAGAATTGAGTAGTCCGGGATTTAGGATCTCTTACATTTCTAAACATATTTAGAATTGAGTAGTCAGGGATTTAGGATCTCTTACACTTCTAAACATAACATTCAGAATTGAGTAGTCCGGGATTTAGGATCTCTTACACTTCTAAACGCAACATTTAGAATTGAATAGTCCGGGATTTAGGATCTCTTACACTTCTAAACACATTAAGAATTGAGTAGTCAGGGATTTAGGATCTCTTACACTTCTAAACATAACATTTAGAATTGAGTAGTCAGGGATTTAGGATCTCTTACATTTCTGAAGACATTTAGAGAGAAGCTGTTCGACATAGTTTTACGCCAAATGAAAACATTGAATGACACAAATTGTTAATATAACCCTTATTAAATTAAAAACAGTAAAAAATAGCATATTTTTGAGTTTTTTTAAATAATATTTATCATTTTAAAACCCTTATCCTGGAACTTTTGGTTTACCCTGTATTTTAACTTTGATAATTTATTTCAATTAAATTTTACAATATCTTTAAATATTTAAATATTTACAAGAAAGAACTATTTTTAAAAAGATCTTGCTTTTTTCCGAACCCTGTATTNGGGGGGGGGGAGTGATTAAGTCATTAACCCTTTCCTCTCCCATTGCATTACTTGCACAAGTTTTGCATCTTCTACACACTTTCTAGATCATTTAATTTCAGTTAGAATATGTAAGGGGGGGGGGACCTCTCCCATCCCATATTCGTCTTCATTCGTTATCGGTAAAAAAGATAGTGTATAGATAGAGACTTCTAATTTTCCTGTTCAATATTTTCTTCTTTTACACTTTTTACACTTAAAGGCCTTTCCAAATAGTTTGGGCTACCCTGTATAAAGGATTATTGTGCTATGGAGGATAATTGGGCTACCCTGTATAAAGGATTATTGTGCTATGGAGGATAATTGGGCTACCCTGTATAAAGGATTATTGTGCTATGGAGGATAATTGCAAGTCATATTAACCTGAGTTCTGCATCCTCCTGTTGCACCTTCTCAATATTTCCCTCCTCTACTGCAGCCAACCATCTCTCCTCCTCATCCTGCTCAGTTACATCATCCTTCTCAATCTCAACTATATCCAGTCCAACATCAACCACGTCAATATCATCAACAGATCCAACCTAAGCCAGAGGAAAATCTAATTTTAAAATTTTCTTTTTATCATATTTCAAATCAAATAAAACTAGACTTTAAGGGACAAACTACTCTAATATGAATTTACTAATTCAAAAAGCTAGCTGCCCTCTTTTATTTTTATATTAGAAATTATGATAAATGTTTTCATGTGAAGCAAAAGATTGTGTGAGAAAACCTTTCATAATTTATTTTGTATGAATGTAGATTTTTGGCTGGATAAATATTGAAATTGATTTATCTTCGGAACAGATAGTTTTATATTTATCATGAGTTCTTTTACTTAAATTATTCTATTAATATATAAAACCAGCTTTGTCTAGAGTTTTCCTTACAAAAGTCGACCAACTCAACTTAGAATTTTAATCAAAAATTGAGGCAAATCGGTCAAGGATTTCATGAGTTATGAACGGAAATTCAATCAGAGATTACTATTTTATAAATATTATTTATATTTATAACCATGTTTATTAACTGAAGAGGAGCAATCCGGAACAATTTGTGTTAATAAAAAAGAAAACTGAGAAGCTGCTCTGATCATTGCATTATATTTATATTTATATCTATATATACATCCGTGTAGTTCCGTTCTGTTTAATAGTGTACCTGGAGTAGTGCTTGAAGGTTCTCCTGTCGTATTTCTGATCCAAAAGTCTGAATCTCCCTCATCAGGAATCCGTCCTCTCCACCCTGCTTCTGACTCAGGCGTCTCCGCCCAACTTTTACAGCTCGAGGCGCAATCTCATCTTAAGAAGAAAAAAATTATGAGAAATTGTTTTTATCATTTAAACTTTTTACTCATTTTCTGAAAATTAAATGTCCCAATAAGATATTCCTTTTTTTATCTAGTTCAAGAAAAAGATCTTTTTATTTAAATTTTAATAAGAAATACAAAGTTTAATCTGACAATCATGTGCTGAATAGAGATCATCAGTCTATTAACTGATAACTTCAACAATTAAAATAAAAATTACCAATTATTAGCGGTTGGTCGTTTTCTGAATCAGACTCTTCGGATAAATTAGGATCAGGAAGATTTAAATCTGAATAAATTATATCATATAGAATTAATTTGAATGTAAGGAATCCTTGTTGAAATTAGTACAAGGTAGATTTAAATCTGAAAAACTTATTTTAAAAAGATTAATTTTATTGTAAAAATCCATGTTTACCTTCCACAAATGATCGTCGCTCTTCTGTTCTTATTTTATGCGCCTTGGCAACTTTCGGAGGTTTAGGAGTTTTGACAGGTTGATTTTTTAAATTAATTTTTAACTTTATTCCATCACTTGGTATTGGATCTGGTTTAGGTTCAGGTTTAACTTTTACAGGTTTGGCAGGTTTCTTAGGTTTCGGTTTTCTTTTTTGAGCTCGGGGAGATTTCGAGGTGGGTTTCTTCCGTCCCTTCTCCCCCAGTACCTTGACGGCACAGGATGGACAATAGTAGGGAACATCTTCCATTCGCACACAGTCGTCTTCGTGTGAAACCTGCGTCAAAAAAGTGTATTAAAAGTGCATTAATAAATAATAATAAAAAATACTTTCCAAATACCAACAATTACAACTCAGATTTATTATAGAGCTTTCCATTGCTCGGTCGTTGAAAAATATACGGGACGACTATTTATCGATTAGTACTTTTGTTACGTTGAAACCTTCAGGATAGAATTCCACTGATCTAGAGGCCTTCAAAAGACTATAAATGTAATTTTAAGCAACCTTTCCTAGATGAAGTGGCATGTCCGATGTACAAATCTTTGTCCCATGAAGTATATATTCGATATCCATGATATTTGATTTTGTTAAACTGATTATTTCATTGATGGAGAAATTATCAAAATTAAACACTTTCAGGTAGAAAACAACGTAATTTTCTATTCTCAGATTAAAGTTTCAAGGCTACGGTTGTGAATAGGGCAAGTCCCTCATTAAATGGAGGTTCACTTAAAAATACAAAGACAGTCACTTTTACTAAATTTCTAACAGATCGATATGAGGATGAGAATTGTACCAAAATATTATGAAAATGTTATGAAGAAAACTGTTTCTTACCCCGACACATTGAAAATGGAACCATCTTAAACAGGTTTCACAACTTATAGTTTCTCCTTCATAGGTTGATCCACCACAGATTATACAGATAGCTTCATCCACCTAGAGTAAATTATTCTTCAGGGGTAGGTATTTTCAAGATTTAACACCCCCCCCCTTTCAAACATTTAAACTGACAACATATTTTCAACATATTAAAGGGGAAGATGATTTTTCGATATAATATATACCTCTACATTTCTTTTACTTTATCTTTATATTGTTCGGAAATTTTACAGATTATCTCAACATTTCAGTAATAAACCATGAGTATTTTTAAATTTCAAAATGTTTTTCCTACCTGTTGTTTCTTTATAAAGTTAAAAGTAAAGCCTCATAAAAGCCTCATATTTGCCTTTTTTTGAAATAAAATAAAATATCGCAAAATTTAACAATTTGTCCCTAATCTAAATATGAAGACCACTGATTTTCTCACTGTGCATTTTACAGTGATAGACAGAGATTATATTAGTTTACGAAATGTTTGATTATCTTGCCTCTATATCTGTTCCAACATCAACATATTCCTCCATTTTATCTGAAATATCACAATCTTTCCAAATCACATTTAAATTTATTTATTTCAAAACTTTGATGCTCGTTTGCCAAATATTTCGTCTGCGTCCGGTGCTCCCTTGTTCGGCTTGAACCCCTTCCTTGCTCCCAGGGTGACCCTCTGCAGATGTGTGATTGCTTCGCTTAGTTCCTCCTCCTCCTGCCGTTCTGTTATCTCAAGGGTCAACTTCTTTAATCTGGCCTTCTCCCTGAACAAATTGATTGATTAATCTTTTTACTGAGCATAATTTATCTTAATAGATCTCAAAGTAAGAAAGACATTATTATCATTATTAGGTAGTTATAAACGTTTGTCTGCCAAGAAATCTGTCGGACGGAATCCGATACATTAAAATTATGTCTTAAATAATAAATATGACATCATAAATAAATTTGTGATACAAATGGAGACACGTGACCAGTATAGTGCACTACCATTGGTGGGAGTTCTGGTGACGTAATACAGACTTATAAATTATATTATTAATTAAAATAAAAATTATAAAATTATAATGGGAGCACACCTAAGTTACAATTAGGTTTCTCTGGGATATCTTCGTTTTAAGATTTGCTGAATATGATCTGTTTAAACCTACTATTTCTATTCAAAATATATACATATATATGAATTTTCGTAAAAAGAAACAATTGTTTATCAATTTCTCGGGACAGGATAATCAGATATAACTTTCGTAACTTTCATGGGTCGCGATCAAGGGCTAAAGTAATTAGCTTTCACCCTGTACCCCCTTTCCTTTTTTCTTTACAATCCCTTTTATTATTGATCTTACCTTGCTTCTCGTTCCTCCCTGGCAATAAACTGTTCTCCGAGCTGACTGTCCGCAGAAACAGATATTCCTTTCGTTATCTTAGTAACTCCTCCCGTCTTCCCTCCTCCTTTCCTCAGCATTATCATCACCTGAACCTTACTCTCATCCTCCTCCCCCTCATCCTGCAGCTGTTCCCAGTTCTTCTTTCCTTTCTGGGTACTGATAGGAGCTGATACAGTTGCCAGTGTGTTCTTATCCCGGAGCAAATTTTTACTCTCACTGATGTTCTCGTTCACCATCCTGTCCAGGTCAGCTAGAAAGTCGTCGTCCTCCTTGCAAGAGAGTTTGACAGGGGCGGAGGGGAGAAGGAGTTCTTCATCACCCTGCTCTACGCCCTCATCTTCACTGTCCTGGCTCACCCCCTCCATCTCATCCCTCTCCTCTCTCTCTTCTCTCTCCTCCCATTCCTGGGATTCAAAATCTCCGTTTCCTACAGCCTGTGATGCAGATCTAGATCTAAAAATAGCAAGTTATTTTATTAAGAATCTTTTAAGTAATACCCAAATCAAGTATAAAACAGTCGTAGAAAACAAAATTCAACGGTTTTATAAATTATTAGTTTTCTCTACGGTTCGGTACAACCGCCCTAAGTAAGAATTTTAAAAAAAGGATTAGAGTTAAGGATTACATACGCATTAACTGTGGAAAGCAAGGTTTATGTTTTCACTTCATTGTGATTGGATAAAAAGTAGTTTCAGGAAGTTTTTTATACCTTATGAGTTGTTTAAAGATCGCGTCGTATGATTTCCTAATTCCTCCAACCTAATCAATATTGTTATAACATATCTAAACCTAACCTGTTATTACTGTGTTGTGACATATCCATGGAGTGCTGGGAATGTGAATTATCTTCATCTTGCTCTTCGCTGATGGTATTCAAACCATCCCCGTCCCTAGAGATGTCAATTAATCAATAAGACAATCAACCAATCAATCAATCAATCAATAAAACGATAAATTTATAAATCAATCAGCCCCCTTTGAACTAACCAACCGTTTGCTACTTTCATTTTATAGTGCTAAATATTTTTAGGAAGTCGTTTTAATTTACTCATTTTCGATACTTTTTACACCAAATCAAATTTCATTTTCTCTTAAAATCACTATTTTCTTCCATGTTAGTGATAAAACTTCTTGGTCCTAGTTAAAAGTTTAAATGGTACAAGGTAGCTCTTTAAATGCAGGGTTATTGGAAACTACGTCAATAAATAACAATTTTCAACTTTTAAATATTGAACCCTTTCCCTATTCTCCTACCTCTCCTTGGTTTCTGAAGAAATGTCTGCAAGGTAACCCTTCTGCTTGAGAACAGTTAGGAACGCGTTCTCTGCTTTCTGAACCGCGAGGCAGGAATCCTCGAAACTCGAAAGCAGTTTTAGCTTCGGCCTTAATCCAATATATTTTAAACACGTTCATTTCTTAATTTGAATGAATAAAATCAATTTAAAATGAAGATTAAAATGAAATAAAGATAATTAAAATGTATTCAGCCTCGAGATAAAATGAAGATTAAAATGAAATAAAGATAATTAACATCTATTCAGCCTCGAGATAAAATGAAGATTAAAATGAAATAAAGATAATTAACATCTATTCAGCCTCGAGATAAAATGAATATAAAATGAAGATTAAAATAAAATAAAGATAACATGTATTCAGCCTATAGAATCTAGATAAAAAATATATCGATTGTTTTATTCCGTTTTATCTAATAAGGTGAGGTAAGTGGTTTTTCAATCTTTTATAAATATAATTTTTTTGAAATTTAAAATATATTCCTGAGAGAATGAACAGTTTCTAGATACAAATTCTTCATCCCGAGAGGGAAATTTCTCTCATCCTCGTATTGTGGATGGGAGCGTTTAAACCAATAATATCTCTGAAGAACATATTGTTATTCTTAACTATCGTACAAGGGATCTTGAATATTGAAATAACAATAACAATAACAATAACAATAACAATAACAATAACAATAACAATAACAATAACAATAACAATAACAATAACAATAACAATAACAATTATAATAATAATAATAATAATAATAATAATCACTGTCAATCCTTCAATCTGAGATTTCAGAATTGAGCTCCCTTCCATTTATAGATTAGAATAAATAGAATTTGATGAATTATTTGGCACTATTTCTATCCAATGTTTCTATCAATCTGTGGTTTGTGATCTAAAAGCCACTCCAGTTGGAAGACCAAAAGCACACAAACACACGGTCCCAATAACATAACCTTTAAAAGGGGTAAACCCCAAAAATTGACTCTGTTTGAATTGGAACTGGCTCTCACAGATAAGGAAAATATTGTCTGCTTTTGTAGCAACGTAAGACATCAAATTGTGAGTGAGTCCGGCTAGAGAACTTAGGGTGTTTATTGAATTTTTAGGAGTCGTAAAAGACGGTTTATATTTTTTCATTCAACACGGAATAGAAATGGGAAACATTGTTGATCGCTTCATAATTTTACCCAGGAAAGTTCCCTTGAAATTAGTTCTGGGTTTTGTATCCAACTACTCTGATTTGAAACTCATTTCCAAATTTGTATTTTAACTACTAAACACTACTGTGTTAATGCAAGAAACATTCATAATTCAGTGCAGAACTTTTTCCATGGAAAAAATAAATCTTTGGATTATTCTAAGTCATTCGAATAGTATTTGGAAAAATGTTTAAGAATAAGATTCCTGAAAATAAAGAAGAAAGTAATCAAGTTTCTTCTTACTGCTTCCTGTACTGAAGTACTGTCCGCATGTGTCTAGCAGTACACAAACCAATCTCAACCTAAATAGATTTCATTAAAAAAATAGAGATTCGACAAAAAAATATCTCAACAAAAATTTAAAAGGAATACTTTTATGGCCTAAAAGCAATTTATAGTGTTCTTACCAATATATATAATCTCGGAAATACCATATCCTGGCTTAAATTAAAAATGTACTGCAGTATCTGGGAGTAATATACAAACAGACTCAGAGCAACTTTAGCTGTTTTTATTCCTCCCAGAAATTGCAGTAATTTTTTTATATCAAAGATTTGAGAAGAGAGGTTAAAAACAACTGAGAAAAAAGAAAAAACAATAAACAATCACAAAATTGAAAAGAAAAAGAAAACCAGAATACTATTATAAACTAAACAATTATTATTTGGTTACCATCACCACAGGATATCAAAGAGGAATTAAATTAATCCGTAGATCATTATACAAGATGGAGATCAATGCCATGCTTGATCTCAACATAAAAGATTTATCAACTATACTCAAGGTTGTATAATAAGGTTGGTTACACTCAATGCGCTCCAATGTACGGAAAATGTCGTCTACTAAGAGATAGAAAGATAAAAACCTTACATGACGTCACTAATTATCTATCTATCTTAGGAGACGATATTTTCAGTAAAATGGAGCGCATCTAGAGGAACCAACCTTAATATACAACCTTGACCATACTCATCACAAATTATTAAATCTTTAGCTTAACTCTAATTATTTTAACAAAGACGACTTTAATCCTGCTCTAAACTGGTTATGACTGTACACGCCCACCTAAGCATATGATGAGGGGGATCAGGACTGTTTTCACTCTCGTCGTGATCAAGGATTACTCCAAATGTGATGAGAGAATATAAAACCTAGAAAAAAAATATTTGTTTCACAAATTTTCAAATGTAAAAGATATTTTACTAATATAGTGGGTTGTTCTTAAATATATGTATTATGTCTCAGACATTTTAGTAATTATGTATATTGGAAATGATATCGATTCTGTTATCAAAGATGCAATATTTCATGTCAAATATGTTTACTATTTATATATTATTATTATATTATTATCTATATATTTAAAGTTGTAATCTCTGTCTATCTGTCTGTCTGTGTGTCTGTTTGTTTGTCCGATTACAACTCAGGAGCCCCAGGACCGATTTGCCTCAAATTTTGGTTGGAGAACTCGGGGAGACCCACGGGAATTTTCTTGTTTGGTTTTGATGTTTTAAGCTAAGTGGGTCGACTTTAATTGTAAAAATTTAGTTTCTAGGTAAAATCGTTTAAGTGCGGGTAAACGGCGGGAGTAACTTTTAGTGTTTTATTAAATATTATTAAGGAAAACTATAGGCAAGAATTGCGAAGCAATTCCTATAGTTTTACATAGTATGGGAGAAACAGTTTTTTTAGCGGTAAAATTTTCTCTTTATTAGAAAATTATCAGAAGAAAAGTTTTTATAAAATTAACTGATATATGTCTGAATCACCTACCTTGAAAATAAGAGCTGAATCTATAATTCTATAATTATAAAGTTCTCCCAGAAATTTAATAACACTTGTTCTTCTCTGGCTGAACTTAGGATTATTCACCTCCATTCCCATCCTAGACATTCATCATTCATCATGCTTCCAGGCGGTGTTATTTTTTGTTTATCTTAATTCTTATTAATTGACAGGGTTATCATTATTTAAATAAAAGTAATAACAAAATTTCTGTTTACCTAATATCCTCTAGAACCTCATCAATTACTACCGGAGCAACCCAATCATGATACTGGATAAGTCCTGCTAGAAGAGAAGCTAAATATCTTATATTAAAATACTTTAAGTTCCAGACGTTCTTGATACACTTGACAATATACGCCGCCATGGCGGGGTTCTCCCAATCAAACTTCCGAACCTGCTTCAGGATCTTCTCACAGTTGGACTTGTTGAGGTCGGTGTAGAGAAGCTTCCTGATGTACTGGTGTGGGATGGGGCGTTCCTTTCTCTGTTCTAGGGGCGTGTCCGGGGGGGAGATCATATAGTAGGAGTTCTCTATCATGGTGGAGTATCTGTTGTCTAGGGTTAGGACGGATTTCTTTCTCATCATCTGCTCCAGGTATATCTTTGTTCTCCTGTGAGAGTCCGGGGATCGGAATAGGAATGCTCCACAAGAATCCATTACAGTGCAGGCCATCTCAATATGATGATGAGAAAAGTCGAATAGAAGTTGTTTCACGCAGAATAGAACGTCAGGTTTGCTGAACATGTTGAACTTCACCAGCTCTCCGATGAATCTGCAAACCTTGAGTTTTGATTCAATTTTTATCTGATCCTTCTTCCGAACCTGCCACCTGAAATCCTGCTTTAACATTGAACACAACTGAGTTGGAACATCTGGCATACAAGGAGCCAGGGCAGCAACAAGACGAGCGTAAAATGGGAGGAGATCGGTTCTGTTTCTGTGCACGGTGAAGAGAGCTTTAACCAGGCGCTTCCTGTTCATCTTTGTGTTATGGTTCATACAGAACTCAGCAGCTGCAGTATCAATCATATCTCGGTTGACACAGTGGGGCAGCTGTGCGAGAAATGCATCGAAGATCATTCTTGTGGACATGTTGATCGCTTCATGCAGATCCTCATCATCCTCAAGATTTACCTCTTCAACATCATCTTCATCCTGCTGAATATCATCATCGTCATCATCATTCAGTTCTGGTTTGGACTCAGTCTTTTTCTCAGTTTCTGCCTCTTCCTTGCTGTCTTTATAGAGAATAGATGGAATTATAGCAATTAGATCAGGAAGGGATTCATAGAACGCCTTGGTATCCTCATCATCCCATAGAGTCCCCAGGTTATCCTCCGTAACCTCTGCTGCTAGTTCAGCCTCCTCCTCCTCGTCCTTCTTGGACTGCACCACCGGGAGGATGACCATCTCCTCCCCTACCGATTCAGCCATCTGCTGGGTGTTGTTAAAGAGCTTCTCCTTCTCCTGTTGAAGCCGTTCCAGTTTCTCCTTTCGTTCTGTGCTTATCTCTCCTTTTGTGAGAAGTTGACGGCGGTTTCCCCGCTCCAGGAGAGCTTGCTCCTTATGTAAGGATACAAGCGCGGAACTTAGACAAGTATAGTAGTCCTAGACGGTGTTCAACATAAACATACATTCAGCTTAGTGTAATATTTCGTTGAATAAATATCATCTTATGTTTTGTACATTCTCAAAGTTAGAATATAGTTTACACATGAAAAGGAATGAAAAATATCTGATCAGGATTTTAGAAATAGTTTTACCATGATAAGGGTCAAGAGTTTATGTTTATGTTGTTCCTTTAGAATATGTCGAACAGGTTTCTGTTTCTCCGCTGGGAGCAGAGATGCTCTGGGAAGGGTGTATCTATGCTTCTCTGCAAGTTTCTAAAGAAATTTTACCATATAATCTCAGAACAGTCTAGAAGAATTAGTTAACAAATTGAAAGAGTGGGTTTAAAACAAATATTTTTGAGAGATCCTAGGCAGCAACTTTCTTAACATGTAAAAAATGCATGAAAAGGAATATCTCATTTTTTTATAATTCGGAGGATAAAATCTTTCATGAATTCGCGGCCAAAAATATGCAATCTAAAAAAATGAATTATCATATAATTTAAACCTTTTGTAATCAGTGTAAAATTGGCACCAAATCAGCATGATATCTTTATGACCAAAAACATGTTACGGCTGATTAAAGCGTGGATGATAAACCTAAAATGGTCCGAAGCCGGAACTTGAGGAGGCTTTAACTCATGACCCAGAGATCATAGAAGTCTCAATTTTAGTATTTAATGTTTTCTCATAATTTGTTAAATGTGTTCAAATTGCTAAAATTCATGACATGGCTTTCATGTTTTACAAAATCTGACCGCGTTTATAAAGAATGACCCCATGATATCATTTTGCAATGACTACTCCCATAATATTTGAAGACCGTAACTCTGAGGTTAAAACTAATAAATAGCAAGAAGTAGTTGAACTAAATACGTTGAACTACTTCTCTAGCGCATACCTAGTTCAACTAATTCTTGCTATTCATAAAATCCGACCTCTGAGTATTCAATATTCACCTGAATGGAGAAGGGAACTAGCCCAGCATAATCGTCCCCGCAATGTTTACAGAATGATATAATTATTGAAATATTTGAGAGGGTCTCCTTGTCCTGAGCCACCAGGGTCATCAACACGTTCCCCAGCAGCGGTAATCCTTCCTGATCCAATCCAAGTTAAATAATACCCACAATACTCTTGGGAGATCAGAGATAAGGATCAATTTTGTTTTCATGTGGATTCATTTTTTGTCCCCTGGAAGCTGGATTCGGATCAGGTATTAAATATTTATAAAAGTTTCACTATTTTCTTTTCAATATTACTTTTTCTTGTATGTTTTCTGATAAATTGTAGCCAAATGGAATTTCTTTATCAAAAGTAACAACTTTGGCATGAAGATGAAACAGTTAAAATCCAATTTTACAACATTAATAAATATAGATATACATTACATACATAACCCTTTTTAGTTACAAAACAAAATAATCTTTTAATCTAAGTTTTAAAATCTAAATCAAAAGGTGAATTTAATCTTTTAACTTTAACATTCCTTAAGTTTGAAAATACCAACTGCAATGAGTTCACTGTAAAACCTAAAAAACAAAGGATTTTATATCATAAAGGGAGAAAATGATTCTCTTCTTCAGGATTTACCTTAAATCAACTCTAAGTTTACTCGGGTTTTGAACCTTATCCTCCTTCTTCATAAATAAGGCCTTGCTCCAGTTCTCCAGAAGACATGGAGCAAACTCTGCATATCTCTGGTGCACTGATGAGCAGAACTCTATAACGGGACCAATATCCGACATCTTGAGTTTACACTCCACTAACCCCTGAGCTAGCTCCCCCAAATACTTAGTTAGGTTCAGTCCCTTCATCTCCTTCATTAGCTGATCTTTCTGCCCTTCACTGAAGGTTTTACATTTCCTGACGAATGCCGTGTTCTTCTTGAGGCTGCTGTCCAGCTTGTACAGGTGACGGTCATCCTCAGGCCTCAAAAAGATGTTTTATTCTTTTTTAAGATTCGAATATTAAACTTTAAATTAAAGGGACTGTAAGCGTAACTTCAAGTGTCCCTCTATACCAATATGGAAATGCCGGATTTGCAAAAGTACTCTAGAACCTTTAATCTGATTAAAAATGTCGAAGAATCCGGCGTTTTTCTGACCCGAAGTGTTTATTTCTGTGAATTTCTCCATTGCTTCTTACAAACAAGAGAAACCGCAAATAAAAATGAACAGTTTAAAGAAACAAAAACATTGATATCTAATTGTATAAATCAGGCATAGCCATCTTTGCATGGAGAGTCACTTGAAATTACGCTCACAGTCCCTTTAATAAATTTTAAAAAGATGAAAAGTATAAATAGACAAAGAAAAAATCTATTTATACCTGTCGTTTGCTGCGTCCGTGTTTAGCTTTCTCAGATTATTTTTCCATTGTATTTTTTCACCAACCTCCTAAATTGGAGTATTTAAATTGGTTAAATTGAAACCCCCCCCCCCCCCCATTTATTTAGACATATTCGTATCTGCAAAGTCTTTACTTGAATATATGAATCAAGAATATCTCTCTCCAGTTGAGAATTATCTATAGGAGATTCCTCCTGCTCAGGCTCAGGTTCAGTTGGAGCAGGTTCAACTCCAGGTACAGGTTCAACACCAGGTGCAGGTTCAACTACGGGTTCAATCTTCTGCTCCAGTTCCGCAGAAGCACTTCCAGATTCATCTCTGATAAATTGAGAATGTAAATACATTTGAATCAGATTCTATATTTCTCTAAAAAAATTAGGGCGGGGGAGAAATCAACTCAAACGGAAATTTAGGTAATTTTCTAGAGAACGGTTTTAGGACCCCCCCCCCCC